AGGAGTCTAGTTTAGTTTTTTTTTTTTTTTTTTTTTTTTTTTTTTTGGTTTTGTCGTTGAGTTTTTTGCTTTTTGGGATGATGATGATGATGATGATGATGATGACGAATTCATTTATTATTCCCTCGCTTAGAATCCTGGGTGTCTTTTAAGATGATGATGGCAAAGAATAAATCGTATGTCAAAGCGTGCTGGATTTTTGCTACATATGGTCCCCGATTAGTACGTGACTGGGCTGGGCGTGACGGGCAATGAAATGCTTGCTTTGTAACAACAGATCACGGAGTATTCCAGAAGTGTAGGACAAAGAAACAAAAAAAAAGAGGGGGGGGGGGAGGAGCCAGCTATATATATATGCTGCCTGCTTTCTGCTGCACCGATATCCAGATAGATGAATGCACTTAAAGAGGTGGCGATCTGTATAGCAACGGCCACTAGTAAAAGAGAGAGTGTGATACTCCAGATGAACCGGTGGGGAGATGGGGATTACTGCACTGCACTGCATTGATGGCAGCAAAGGCAAGGAAGGCATTTTGTTGCCAGAGTCCTTTGGCGCAGGAGAACTAGTGCTTGCTACCTACTGGGCTGGCATGGGCACGGAGTGTAGAACTGGAGATAAAGCCCTGCACGGCATGTCAAAATCTCAATCTACATCTTTCAGTCACGCTAAGATGCTCAGACATCTTCTGGGACGGTACCTTCCGAGGCAGTCGAGAGATCTTGGATCTCGTTGGATGATCTCCCGTTCCTCTCGCTTATGTGGTCGGAGATGCTCTTTCCTGCGCACTGATCTACGATCGCTATCCCGCAAGCTTTCGAAGTGATAGAAGAGAAAAGAAAAACGAATAGAGGAAGAGGAAGGGGAAGAGGAGGGGGCAAGAATGAGTAGGAGTAAAAACAAGATCAATGCTGAAATATAAAAAGGGAAAGAAGGAAAGGGAGAGCCTTAGAGGGGTGATACACTATTTCCTTACAAAGTCTGCCCTCCTTTCCTTTCCTTTCCTTCCCTCTCACCAACTCTTCTCCAGGCTGCCTATTTCTTTCTTTTCTTTCTCTCGAATACCTAAACTAGGAAGGAAAAAAAAAATTCTTAATAAATAAATGAATTTGCCTAGCATAAAGTCAATGGTTATCAAAAAGACCCCTCCCTCCTCTGCCTGCCTGTTAGCAAAATTCTAGGGGCCGGGGTGTACCGTGTCACTATAAAAATGAATAGAGCACCGCGACAAGGCGCTGTACATCAGATCGCGGGAACGCATACTCAAGGCGCAGGGGGGCTGTCGTCGCCCGACGATCTTACAACTACAAGCCTGGTAGCGGTGGCCTTGCTTACAGATAATTCCTCTTCTCAACCTAAGGGAATAGTCTTTTTCTTTTCCCCAAAGGATATCTATCGGATCGCTTTGCCAGCAGGCATGATGGAAAAGCGATTTGAACAACGAAAGACGAAAAAAAAAAAAAAAAAAAACCTCTCGATGCCGGGTAGCTAAATCCTAGCTAAGGAGAACCTTGTTTGTGCAAAGCCAGGAATGAATAGACTATAAAAAAAAAGGCAAGCCTGCTGCGATACTATCTATCGCATATATACAAGACGTTTGGGGACGACGAAGTTTGAATTTCAAACTAGGACAGTAGAAATCGATAGGATCGAGTCCTTCCTCGTTCTTTTTTTCCTTCCATCTTACTAACTGTTCCCCAAGCTGCTTAGCTATTTCTTTCTTTCCTCTTTTCCTCTCTTCTCTCAAAAACCTGAATTGGAAAAACAAAAAAAAAAAAAAAAAAAAACGCCAATTACTTGGGATATAAGTGCCTTTAAAGAAAAATACGAAAAACCATTCTATTTATGTATAAACGCTTGGCGGTAGAAGTCCAGGTTTTGGAAAATTTTCATGTGTATAGTCAAAGATTTTTTTTTGGATTTTTTTTTCCTCCCCAAAGGCACTTTGATCCCAGGTAATCGTCTCGCGATAGACCTTGGGGATCTGTAAATTTCTTCATAGATATGTTCAATGTCTTTTTCGTTCTTGCTCATGGCACCTTTATCCCAGGTAATTGTCATTTTTCTAATTTAAGTATTTGAGAATGAAAAGAGAGATATAGGGAGCTTGGAAAATAGTCGGTAAGAATGGGGGAGAGAAGGAAGGACACGCGAGAGAATTAAGATTAAAGCGCGCGGGAGGAAAGGGATAGCGGAATCTATTTACTGATTACACCCGCACCGATGATCCTTTTAAAAATGAATAATAGTAAACGAGGGGCCAGTATCACGAGTGCATCGAGTATAAGCCTCCTCGCCAGACGAAATATATACTACATTCTGTTCCCTTCCAAAACACGTCTATCGGCCGTGGGTCCAACTTTAGCCCTGTCATAGGCCAAGTAAACGATAAAATCGTTCTTTCTCCATTCTTCCTAACTACCAACCAGTCCACGCACGATTACTCGTCAATGACAGAGGCAAACTTGTCAGTCATGGCTTGGATAAGATCCTCGTACTAATTGATCACTTCTCAGCAAAATATTCCAGGAGGCAGGTAGGGGGCCAACACACCTTTTTCACAATAACATCTTCTCCGTCACTAGGAACCTCGAATTTCATGCTTCGGAGCTGGGATTGAATGTCACCTGTGGCCTCGCGGACTTTACTCCAGTTATGGCCTTGCGCGACAGCCTTCTGAGCCTCGTCGTGGAATCCCATCATAGCCTTCATCATCCATTCCGTCTTCCAGATGGGGCAGAACTGATCATAGTCCGAGTAACCGTTCTGCTGCAAAAAGTCCTCCTTGATCAGACCTGCAACATCCAGGGTGATCTTATCAGGGTCAGACAAAGCGGACTTTCCGACCAACTGCACCACCTGATCCAACTCTTCGGAATCGGTGAGAAGTTGCTTGATACGATCACGGAGTCTGGGGAACTCAGGGAAGTCCTTCTCGTAAAACTTGTCCAGGACGCCGGTGTACTTGGAGTAACTAAGAGAGGTATTGATGGAAGGGAAATGTTTACGCTGAGCGAGCTTCTTGTCGAGACCCCAGAAGACCTGTACGATACCGAGGGTGGAACTGGTGACTGGATCGGAGAAATCTCCTCCGGGAGGACTGACGGCTCCGACGATACTGACGGATCCTTCACGCCCCGGACTACCGAGAGCTTGTACCTTCCCAGCACGCTCATAGAAGCTGGCAAGCTTAGCCCCAAGGTAGGCGGGATAACCCTGATCGGCAGGCATTTCTCCCAGACGACCAGACAGCTCACGAAGAGCCTCAGCCCATCGGGACGTTGAATCAGCCATCATGGCAACGTCTTTACCCTGGTCTCTCCAATACTCTGATAAACAAATTCCTGTTAAAACAGCATGGTTAGCAACATAAGACGAGAGTCGAACAGTTAAATCTCATCAACAGAATGTGTGGGAATGTGGTGAGCAGGGTCACGTGAGTGTGCCAATGCAACATAGCCTTGGCACAAGTACAAAAGACCCCTTAATTCCAGCAAAATAAAATTATGGTCGGACGGCGTCTAGGTGAGTGGCTCAAGTATATCGGGAGAATGGGATGAGTACAACATACCAGTGTAAATGGAAGCTTCTCGCGCAGCGACAGGCATGTTGGAGGTGTTGGCGATCAGGGTGGTACGCTTCATGATAGGCTCCTTTCGGCCATTGATATCGATGGAAAGTTCTGGGAAATCCATCAAGACTTCAGCCATCTCGTTTCCTCGCTCACCACACCCAACGTAAACGATGATATCACTGTTGGAAAATTTGGACACGGACTGCGAAATCACAGTCTTTCCGCAACCGAAAGCACCTGGGATGGCAACAGTTCCTCCTTGTACGGAAGGAAAGAGGGCGTCCAGAACGCGTTGACCGACGATGAAGGGTTTGTCTGCAGCCAGCTTCTCGTTGGTCGGGCGAGGAACACGGACGGGCCATGTGTGCATCATGCTGTGTTCAGTCTTCTTGCCATCAAACTCAATCTCCAGGATCTTCTGGTCGACTTTGTATTTCCCCTCCCCGGCAATTCGAGTGATCGTACCCCGAGCTCTTGGTGGAAGAAGAATCTTGTGGTCGTCCATCAGGGAGTTCTCGTAGACAGTGCCCCAGATGTCTCCTCCGGTGATGTGATCTCCAACCTTCATCAAAGGCTTAAATTCCCAGTCCTTCTCTCTGTTCAACGCAGGAACTGCAATACCACGGGGAATGTAGATGCTGTTGGAATTTTGGGCAATGCTCCTGAGGGGTCGTTGAATACCATCGTAAATGGTTTCCAGTAATCCAGGTCCCAACTCGACGGAGAGAGGCTTTCCAGTTCGGATGACGGGATCCCCGACCGTTACACCAGCTTCCAATCATTAGCAATTTCCTGTCTAGCGACTGATTGAGCCGTACCGGTCTCTTCATAAACCTGAATGGTAGCTCTGTCTGCTTCGATACGAATGACTTCCCCGACGAGGTTATCGTGCCCGACTTTGACCTGGTTATCCATGAGCTTGTGTCAACCGCCTGGCCGGTGTCAATCCGTACCAATTCGTACATAGCAACCCCGATCATATTCTCGGCGACTACGACGGGTCTGACCAGTATTAGTGTCATAATTCCATGCCGATTGAAGGATTCGCATACCCGGAGACGGAGTAGATGGAGCCTGGATAGCTATCATTAGCTGGAGGTTGGCAGGTTCAACGAGAGACGTACCATATTGCTCATCATCGTCATCCTTGATCGCAGCTTTCTTTGGAGGCATGATGGCTGGTGCGTCGTCTTCGACTGGCTCCAACGACTGACAATCTAGAGGGGTTGTAGGAGGCGAGAGGGTTGAGGTGGGTGATGGGGGCAGCGGAGGAAGTTCTTGAGCAAGCTTGAAGCTCTGTTCGGAATCGAGGCTAGAATCGAGTGGGCCCGTGCTTTTGCGACTACGAATCAGGTCGTAGAGACTGGGACGAGGCTTTAGACGAGGCTGCAAACCAAGATGCATCAACAAGGCCTGCCTCGTTCGGCTTGACGGCTTGACGTTGATTTGACGAGGAGACGTTGGCTGTCAGTAGGTAAGGGTGAGACTGAGGGCGAGGGCGAGGGCGATGGCGAGGGGCTACGGGTGCTACAAGAGAGAAAGTGCTGATCCAGGTGAAAAGGATGTTAACGAATCGAATATAGCTTAAGCGAGAAGGAACAGACGGACCTTGGAGTGAATGTACGGAGTAGGAGAAAGTAGATATCAGAGGAGGCGAGGATTCGCGGTCGGTATATATGACTTGATCCGAACGAGTTTCCAGATTCTTTCTTCATGGATCTGGCTCGCCCCGGTCTACGAGACTATACAATAACGCTACCAAGGATATGGTGGCAGAAGTATCAACAAGAGACCCTTGTCTGAGAATGTCGTGTTTCTCATCTCAGAGGCAATTGGGAGGGAAGAGTAAATTCTTGGATAAAATAGATTTTGGGGGTCGCACATATACATATCGCACCCAGGTCGATCACCACCGCTTTGGAGTTTTTATATTGGGTATATAAAATTCGATTTGGGAGGTAATTGGATTCGCTTACTAATGCAGCGAATCCGCCTCACGTAGAAAATTTGCAAAGTACAATCGGGCAGGTCGAAAATGGGCATCCACATGGGAATTTGGAAAGTGACTGTTTCCATCGGATGAAGGTGTACTCTGTAGGGGGGTGGGTGTAGGGACAGCCAAACAGCCAACGAATGGTGAGAGAAATTAGCCACGAGCAAGATGCCGCCGGGTTTCATGATCCAGTAAGTGAAAAAAGGTGCGCACAGCCTGGTTCTGCGTGACTTTCTCTATCATGATACATGATATACTCCGGTACATCAAAGGTGTTGTTGACCTGACCCTTATGCTCTTATCAACCGAGAGCAGCTGATCATTCCCCATTGCCATCATTCCCATCATTCCCATCACATGGCTCGGGCATATCAATAGAGCCAGTCGGGGTCTCGCATCTCGAATCCCGACAGCCAACCGCCATTCGCCGCTTCCAGCCATGCAAATCCACCACCACCAGCCCGGCCTAGCTCTCTTACCCACTTTGACCCACTTCCACCTCGTCTCCCATGCTCTCTACCTTCCGGCTTACCTGACTTACCTACCTGTACTGCTTCGACGAACAACGAACGACGCCCATCCATCCCCGACTCCGGTTCCGATTCAAGTGCATGCATGGCACGAAAGAATGACCGCGCTCACCTGCAACAACAGTACCGCTCGAGTTCTGGATACTACAAGTAGTCGTATACTCATACTTCTTCTGCATACCTACATTCCCTCCGACTGAGTTTACAAGCTTCAACCGAATCTCCAAGCTCCAAGCCCAGCCAGACAGAGACCTAACCTGACCCCCCCCCCCCCCCCCCCCATATACACCACACTTCCTCCATATATTCGACCAACAATCTCAATCTCAATCTCAACCTCAACCCACCGAAAGCTGCTTCACGACGTCGGTATCCGGACGTCGAGACCCCTCTTGACCATCGACCACCAGGCGGCATCCCGCAGAGGTCGTCCTGGCAGACCAACCTGCACCATCATCCCCATCCACCTCCGACGACCCATTCACCCCGAATCACCCCCCACTACCTTCCAGCACAAGAATCTCAGCCCCAACTCCCAACAATCTACAAATAAACCAACTCTTAAACCCGGAACACTCGAACCCCTCTACCAGCACCCCTTCTGGAGCCTCCCGGGACCTGCAGCCTGCCGAAACCCAGATCCTCGGCCGCCGACAACGAGAGAGCTCCGAAGAGCCCGCAGAGGAAGGGAATATCAACGAGGGCGCAGGCGGTCCAGGAAGTGCGCGGCCGAGTAGCAGCGACCATCGACCAAAGCGTACACGTCACGGATCTAGGATGAGGCCAGAGGGAGAGACGAGCAACTTCAACGGTACCTCGAGGCCACAGCCAAATGGATCGGGGCCCTCCTCTCTGCACAAAGCTGCCCTTTCAAACTCGGCAAATGGAACTCGACGATCTCCGTTATCAATGAACGGATCGTTAAGTACGAACGGCCGTTCTAGTGGCAAGCAGAAGCCTACATATTTTGGTCATGACCGGGAAGAGATAACCAGAATATTGATACAGTCGTTGACAGATCTGGGCTATAACTCTGCTGCTTCAAGCTTGAGTCAGGAGAGTGGCTACGATTTGGAGAGCCCGACAGTTGCAAAGTTTCGAAATGCCGTCTTGGAGGGGGCATGGTCCCAAGCAGAAAACCTGCTGTGTGGCGGGGTGCTGGAGGAGGGGGGCGTGAGTATTGACGGGGATGGCCTGACTCTCCAGGATGGTATTGACCGGAACTTGATGCGGTTCTGGCTACGGCAGCAAAAATTCCTAGAGCTCTTGGAACGGAGGGACACTGGTAGGGCGTTGATGGTACTTCGGGCAGAGATCACACCCCTCTATCAGGATACTGGCAAACTTCACTTTCTTTCTAGGTAGGCTCTACACCTGTTTCCAAACGGTCCATGACTGACCGTATCTAGTTTACTCATGTGCCAATCAACTGAAGACTTGAAAAACAAGGCAGCATGGGATGGTGCCGAAGGTAGCTCACGGCACCAGCTACTCTCCAAATTGTCCAGTTTGTCTCTTTTTCCCGCTGGATGCACTCCATGTCTAACCGTTGTACAGGATTCATGTCTCCCTCGGTCATGTTACCAGAACATCGATTAGCCGTACTACTGCACCAGGTTAAAGAAAATCAAATAGGCGCCTGTCTCTATCACAACACCTCCGCCTCTCCGTCTCTCTACCAAGATCACAACTGTGACCGAAATCAATTCCCGCTACATACCGTCATGGAACTTGATCAACACAGTGGGGAGGTATGGCAAGTGAAGTTTTCGAACGACGGTGAACGATTGGCGAGTTGTGGGAAAGATGGGACTTGCATCATCTATGCGGTAGGGACTTTCGACGTGATCCAATGTCTTGCGAAATCCGAATCTGGAATTGCCTCGTTTGCATGGAGTCCCGACGATTCGATGATCGTCACGTGTAGTACTGACCAAACGGCGGTTCTGTGGGATACCCACGTAAGTCATCTTGATAATATGTGAATGTGTCTTTTGCTGATTCTACCAGACCGGGCAAATATTAAAGCAGCTTCCTCGCTTTGGAGAGCCCGCAAGCAGCTGCGTCTGGGCTCCTGATGGTCAGAGTTTCGTCACCGGGTGCTTGGATAGAGAAAGAAACCTTTGCCAGTGGAGCTTGCACGGAGAACTTATCTATGACTGGGGTCAGCCGCATCGAATACAGGACCTTGCGGTCTCGCCCAACGGACACTACCTGGTTGCGATGGACCACGAAACGCACATCCACGTGTACAACTTCGTCACCCGCGAGCTCGAGTACGAGATTGATATGAAAGCAAACATGAGCTCAGTAAGCATCAGTCAGAATTCCCGGTATCTGCTAGTCAATAAAACCGACGGGGAGGCTCGCATGATTGCCCTGGATACCCGAGAGACGTATCGGTCGTTCAAATCGGGTGCCAAGGGTGGGAATTTCGTCATCCGCGCAACGTATGGAGGTGCAAACGAGAGTTTTGTAATCTTTGGCAGCGAAGGTACATTCTACCATCAAATTGCTCTTGACGAGTACTTTGCTAATCCGTGGTGCAGAGGGCAGCGTCTACATCTACCACAAAGAGACCGGGCAACTAATAGAGAAACTCGAAGGCCACGGCAAAGCATCCTGCAACGCCGTCTCTTGGAACCCAGCAAACCCCTCAATGTTCGCAACCGCTGGCGACGACGCTAAAGTGCGAATGTACGTCTCTTCGTCCCTTCAACCTCCACGTTTTCATTGACTGAACTTTGGCTGACGAACTCATAGATGGGCCGACGTCGACCAGCTAGAACATCGTCTCTTGGCCAACTCTGGCCGCCCTTCCAACGGCCGCAGTTCATAATTTTACTCGCCCTCGAGCAAAAGATATTCCTATCAGCATCTGTTCGGCGCAATGGTTAAGACTGGATAACTTGACATGATTAAATACGCGTGGCATCTTCGACTGCGTCACTTGGAGTGTTAGGGCGGGGTGGGGGGGGGGGGGAAGTGATCCGGGCATTCGTGAGGAGTATAGGCGCATGTGCATTCGATGTTTTAGATAATAGAGAGCTTGTCGGGTAGTGGGTGACGATGGGTTGACTACTCCGCTTGCTATATTAGCGAGACGAGGTGAGGAGGTGAAGGTCATGCCGATATAAGGCAGTTATCCACGCAGAAATTCAAAGTCGTTGAACCTCCGTCTCGTTGCGACAATCTTCCCTGTACGAATCCTAAAGTTGCTATTCGCTCTTCGTGATACTTACCATGATACGCTTAACTTTAAACTTCGATAATGAATGTCGTAAGCCTGTTCACTCTATTTCGGTCAAACTTGACTATAGGCAATGCATGCTCTTCAGGTAAGGAAGGGGATAAAGGGCAAGTCATCCTGCTTGAAAAATTTGTCGTGGTTCGATCAACGCCTTGATTTTATCTGAAGAGGGAGAGGGGTCAGCCTGCCTGCTATTTTGCGCTTGTTTATTTTATTCGTGTATTTGTGTCTTCGTGTCTGGCGGCCCGGGTGCTGTGTGAACAGAGGTGCCTGTGTAGAGAGGTAGGTGGGTCAGTGAGTGGGTGAGTAGGTGGGTGGTATTGATGGTTTACTTCGGTCTTCGTTAGGTATTACTACAAAAATTTGAGATTACGATAAATGATAGTGAGGATGGGTGCCAGAAGGCTGTGTTGTTGTTGTTGTTGTTGTATTTATTTACGTCGGGCGGGTAAAAGGATATGTGCGACCAGAAGGCTGTGGGTTGACCGAAATGAGCGTTTTTTTTTTGTTTCTATTTTCTTCGTTTCATCTAGAGCATTATACGATCTTGAAACATGTTTGGTTGGTTTTTCATGTATTCGTAAGTTGTTTCACGTTTGATCTTGAGGAGGCGTTTTTTTTTTTTTTTAGAGAAGAGAATCAATCGTCAGGAGGATCTAGAATAGAGAGAAGGGGTGTTAATCTTTCATGCGTAGGATTTAGCGGAGTCTTTTCAAAGGTCCATCAAGAAAGCTTTTCGTTGGCAGGGAGTTTCAAATCTCAATCTTAATATCATCATCATCATCATCATCATCATCATCGTCATCATCATGATCCAATCTCATCCGCCCACGGAATCGAGTTCTGCGCCCCCTTCTTCTCCACAGTCCTCGCCGACGCCTTGCATGCCGTTGCCATAATGGCGTCCATCTCCTCCGTATTGAAACTCTCCTTCTTCACAATCTGGACAGCGTAAGACCCGATGAAGGTATCTCCAGCGGCCGTGGTGTCCACAACGCTCTCGACCTTTGCAGCCGGGATCGATCCTCCTTCCGCGATAGACTGGCCGTGCTCGTCATCCCACGTGTACCCGTAGTAAGCGCCCTTGGAGCCAAGGGTCACAACCACGTTCTTGACGCCCTTGCTAAAGAACTCCGAGATGACTTCGATCCAACTGAAGCCTTTGGCCTCGACCTCCTCGAGTTTGCGTCCGGTGAGGATCGCGGCTTCTGTCTCGTTGAGGATCAAATGGGTGATGCCCTTGTAAGCCTCATCTGGGAGAACGACCGCTGGTGCCGGGTTCAGGAGCACAGCGATCCCAGCCTCCTTGGCCGAGCGTATGGTTGAGAGGACGGTGTCGAGGGGGATCTCTAGTTGCATGACGATGAGATCTGGCTTGGGGTCCTCGAAGATCTTGGGGGGGACAACGCGGCTGTTGGCGCCCGGATCGAGGATGATTCGGTTCTCGCCGGTGGATTGCTCGACCATGATCACCGCAACGCCCGTGTTCACGCCTTGGGACAGCTCGATGCCTGACACATCGATGCCGTCTCCTTTTAAACCGGCAACGATCTTGGGTCCAAACTCGTCGGCTCCAACGGCGCCGACCATCCTGACGATAACTTCTGGTTCGGTCTGGGGGGTCTCCGATGCTGCTGCAGCAGTGCGGGGGTTTGGTCGCGACAGGCGTGCACATGCAACTGCTTGATTGGCACCCTTTCCACCAGCGTTGGTGTAGAATCCTCCTCCTGTCATTGTTTCGCCGGGTTGAGGGACCCGGTCGACGAGACTGACGAGGTCATAGTTGAGGGAACCAATAACTGTGATGACCTTGGGTGCCATTTTCAGGTGTTGTTGACTTTGATAATGAAGACTTCGCTTAGGAGAGCCCTGGTTTTGGAGGGGGGATGGCGGATGGTGGATGGTAGATGGACGAGATTAGCCAAATGCTAAGCGTCCGCAGGTGGTCTCTCTTCCTCGAGTCAAATGCTAGTGTTGTAGGGCGTCTATCAGCCCCGAACTCGTAGCCTGTTCAAGCTGCTGATGGCAACAATCCACCAGGCACCAAGATAATGGTATTTTGCTTCTGGGAAGCCACGCGTTCTTTGATGATATCGAAGACTGGGGCGGAGAGGGGGTTAGGAATCGAGTCGTAGAAGCAAAGCTTGTCATGTATAAAATACGAGTGAATATATTCAGCTAGACAGAGAGGTTCCATTAGCCAGCTATCATCATATTGAACCCGTGCAAGTCTCAGCTAGACCTCAAAATCGATCACGATTTCCAATGTGGTAGGTCAACTCAACACCGAACCCTGATTGGACACTGAATATTGAACTCACCAAGCATATGAAGGGCTTCAGGAAGATCTAATAATTGTTGATGCTCATTGAGATCAGATGTGATCCATTCACAGCTGTAAGAAGCTGTGGCTGTGCTCAAGCCACATATGTCCGACTGCACCTGCGTTTCAAACAACTCGGAAAGTCGAAAGTGAGCAACGTTTCTTAACAACACCAACAACGCCCATCTAAATCTTCAACCCAGCTCTCCATACCATACACGCTCTCGATCTCATCAACCACTCCGCTCGAGAACCAAGAAACTCCCCTCCCGAACTCTGCAACGATGGCTGTGGCCGCACAAGGCGGAATCTCGGACCCTGGTCTTATAACGTCAGGATCCCCTACAGCTTCGTTTTGCGCCCGCGTACTGACCCGTTCTACAGACTGGTGAACAAGCTCCAGGATGTCTTCACAACCGTCGGAGTACAGAACCCTATCGACCTACCCCAGATAGTAGTTGTGGGCAGTCAGTCCAGTGGAAAGAGTTCGGTGCTGGAGAACATAGTAGGACGAGACTTGTAAGCCGCCACTTGTCCCCACGGGCCCAGACCAGAAACGCTGATACAATAGCATAGTTTACCTCGAGGAACCGGCATCGTAACTCGCAGACCGCTTGTCCTGCAACTGATCAACCGACAGCCCGCGGGCGCGAATGGGGTCAAGCATGAGGATATCACTGCAGATGGCGATAAGGAAGCCAACGTCGACGAGTGGGGCGAGTTTCTGCATATTCCTGGCCAGAAGTTCTTCGATTTCAATAAGATCAGAGACGAGATTGTTAAGGAGACGGAGGCAAAGACTGGCCGCAATGGAGGCATCTCACCTGCGCCCATCAACCTGCGAATCTACTCGCCCAACGTTCTCACACTTACCCTCGTCGATTTGCCCGGTCTCACAAAAGTCCCAGTCGGCGATCAGCCACGGGATATTGAGAGACAGATCAAGGAGATGGTGCTGAAGCAGATCGGCAAGCCAAATGCCATTATCTTGGCTGTCACAGGAGCAAACACAGATTTGGCCAACTCGGATGGTCTGAAGCTCGCACGCGAAGTCGATCCTGAAGGTCAAAGAACGATCGGTGTTCTCACGAAGGTCGACTTGATGGACGACGGCACCGACGTAGTAGATATTCTGGCGGGACGAATCATTCCTTTGAGATTGGGATACGTGCCAGTAGTCAACAGAGGACAGAGGGATATCGACAACAAGAAGGCCATTACAGCTGCGCTGGAAAACGAAAAGAATTTCTTCGAGAACCACAAGGCATACCGAAATAAGAGCTCTTACTGCGGAACACCATACCTGGCCAGAAAGCTCAACCTCATCTTGATGATGCACATCAAGCAAACCCTCCCAGATATCAAAGCCCGTATCTCCGCATCCTTGCAAAAATACACCACTGAACTTTCAGGCTTGGGTGACTCGATTTTGGGTAATAGTGCAAACATCGTCCTCAATATCATCACGGAATTCTCAAATGAGTGGAGAACAGTCCTGGAGGGCAATAACACCGAGTTGTCGAGTGTGGAGCTGTCTGGTGGAGCCAGAATCAGTTTCGTTTTCCACGAGCTGTACGCGAACGGTGTGAAGGCTGTTGACCCGTTCGATCAAGTCAAGGATATCGATATCAGAACTATTCTGTACAACTCTTCCGGATCTTCGCCCGCTCTGTTTGTCGGTACTACTGCTTTCGAACTTATTGTTAAGCAACAAATCAAACGTTTGGAAGAGCCGAGTCTGAAGTGTGTTTCTTTGGTCTACGACGAGCTTGTTCGCATTCTTACTCAGTTACTTGGCAAGCAACTTTTCCGAAGATACCCAGGGCTGAAGGAGAAGTTCCATCAAGTCGTCATTGCATTTTTCAAGAAAGTCATGGACCCGACCAATAAGCTGGTGAAAGATTTGGTAGCGATGGAAGCTTGCTACATCAACACCGGACATCCAGATTTCTTGAACGGTCACAGAGTATGTTATGAAATTCTACAAGAAGGCTGATGTTTACTGACCCATCAATAGGCTATGGCTCTTGTCAATGAGAAGCACAGTGCGTCAAAGCCCGTCCAGGTTGACCCCAAGACTGGCAAGGCAATTCCTCAGTCAGCAACGCCAATACGATCAGCTAGCCCAACCATGGGTATCGGCGGGGATGATGCGAACGGTGGATTCTTTGGAAGTTTCTTCGCCTCCAAGAACAAAAAGAAAATGGCAGCCATGGAAGCCCCACCGCCAACACTCAGGGCATCCGGGACCTTATCTGAAAGAGAAGGCATTGAGGTAGAGGTTATCAGTGAGTGGCAAAGTTTCGTGTGTTGATTTACCAATAACTAATATATGCAGAACTTCTCATCAATTCTTACTATAATATCGTGAGAAGAACAATGATCGATATGGTTCCAAAGGCAATCATGCTCAACCTTGTGCAGTAAGTGCTTCCAACGCTCTCTCGTACCGTACACAACAGCTAATCCTTCTCTAGGTACACAAAGGAAGAAATGCAGAGAGAACTCCTCGAGAACATGTACCGCACTGATACACTGGACGAGCTGCTCAAGGAGAGTGACTACACTGTGCGCCGGAGGAAAGAGTGTCAGCAAATGGTCGAGTCTCTATCACGTGCCAACGAGATTGTCAGCCAAGTCCAATAGACCCGGGATCGAAGGCAAAGTGCTCATCCGGTTCAATACCCGCAGTTTGGATGGCAACAGCCCATAGCACACACAGCATGCTGGCTCCCTAGACTCTTTATACACCCGCCTCATTTCGAAACGATACCTTTTCTGGCGCTTGCTTGTTAATGGATGGAATACGCGGACGGCGATGATTTGACTCGAGCATGATGGACAAACTGCATGTACTTCTTACTTATAGCGGTGGCACCAATGGGTCGATCGGTAGCATAGGCGCAGGCAAGCGATGAGGTGACGGACGGCGAATTGAATTAAATGAGGGACAGAAATGTATGGTCTTTGTTATCTTCTTCTAGTGCCTTTCTCGGCTGCTAGCTACACCATACACCAACAGTACCCTAAGCCCCTATCTATACCCTTGGCAGCAGATACCGCAAGAGCTTCAATACATGACTTGCCTACCTAACTCACCTTCATTTTCCTATCACCCTCTCACTACTATCTCCTCACCCCGGTACGCGGAATCTTTTACCCAAAAACCGTACCTAGGTAACGTACCACCCACCTATTCCTCCCCTCCGTGCCGTTCCGTCTCACTCCTGCATCCATTCATTCATTGTGCACTTTGTCCTCCCTCCCTCCCATTGTCACACACACACACACACACACCACCAACCCGACATCTACAGAGTAAGTGAGTACAGTACTACTCTGTATATTCTTTCTCGCCGCAAGGGCGGGCACGCAGTTAGGCAAACAACGCACCACAGTCCCAACAACGTTCCCGTAGATATCGAACACAGATCTCTGTCCTACGTTACCCTTACGTTGCGTTACGTTACGTTAAGTTACGTTACACGCCTCTCCCTCCCTCCCTCCTCTCTCTCTCTCCCGGCGGCCATATTCTCCTCGCTCCTCGCTATGGTATGTACGGGTAAGTGACTCGAAGAAGGGAGGAAGAGGGAAGAGAAGAAGAAGAACGGACTGTCTGCTTGACGCGGGACGTCTTGCGTGTTGCTGCCTACCGCTCTTCTTCATGCTCCCTCTCTCTTTCCTTTCTTCTTACCTTTTTTTTTCTTTGTTCTTTCTTTTTTCCTTTTTTTTGTTCTTTTTTCCTTTTGTTCGTTCTTTTTCCTTTTGTTCGTTCTTTTTTCCTTTTGCTCGTTCTTTTTCCTTTTGTTCTCTCTTGCTTTTCTTCTTTTTTCTTCTCTCTTTCTTCACTCGAGACCACCCGCGTCGCCGACCGAGGTCGCGTTGCACGAGTGCCAGCGAAGCCGGGATTCCGGATCGATCCCCGCTCCCCGCTCCCTGGGATGCAGGTTGCCGCTGCCGTTGTCGCTGCGTTGACCCTTCAAAAGAGAATCCCTTTTTTCCTTCTGTGATGTGGGGGGCAGGGGGTGGGGGCAGGGAACGGGTGATGGATGTACAGGCTGCAAGTGATATATGATATGATATGATATGATATGATATTTCCTGCGTGGTAGTTGTCGATGGTTGGCGGCCAGGAAATAGCGGCGTGCATGCAGCACGCGGATATGAGGCGATATTGCCGATGGAGACGGGCAGCTGGTACGTACCTTTCGTGGATTTCCTCTTTTTCCCTGGCCGACGCGGGAGCAAAAGGGGTAGGATAGAGGTACTGGTTGCGTTTGTGGGACGTTGGCTATGTCTCGGATTGCAAGAGAAGGGGTCTAGAAGGTCGGGGCCATTTAGTATTTAGGGAAGGGTGTGGGGACTGTTTTGGAGAGAAGAGACAGGCAGAAGCAAGCAAGCAAATCCGATTTCCTGGGACCAGACCCCTTACTGAGTGCTGATATATTCTCCGAGTGGCTCGCACTTTTTTCTTTCGAGAGGCTTGTGAAGAACAACCTCTTCTTCTCTTTCTTGCAGGCGAGACAGTTCTTCGGTTCTTTTGAGGAACGTCTCGAAAACTATTGTTATCGCCGTCGTCGTCGTCGTTGAAATCATGACTGTTGTTATGAAGGACCTCGGATCTGGTGCAAGTGGAGGTTTTGGAGCTTGGAGACTTCAAGCGAATGCAAGTCGGGCAAAGACGATCCTTCTCGATATCGCCACGCCCACGAACATGTCAAGAGGTGATCCTCCTTCGCCTCCTCCTAACCCTCCTCCAAGTCCCTCGAGGACCGTTTCGTTGGATGATGAAATCCGGGCATGATGGTAAGTCGGATGGACTCTGCCTTCAGACTTGATACTAATGGAAAAGCAGCCTCTTATACTTTGGACCTCCGCATCAGAAAACACCCCAATCACTGTTCAATGACTCCCGAACTCGACCACAATATAATGTCGACTACCACGGAAAGAAAAAAGACATTGTTTGGAAGACCATGGGTACATCGGAGGTACATCTGGGCGTATGGACAGACACAGAGATTAACACTCGCTTGGTTTTTATTGGAGCAGGTAGACTGGCTTTCGGCGTTCCTTAGAAGGACGGTGGGGTTGGATGGGAAAAAAACGGATAGTTGAGACAGTTGAATCATAACTTGGGCAGCGCTCCTCTTACCAGACCTCCATCTTCTACCTCAAAGTCCTTGCCGCGCTTCCAGCCCAGCCATTGATTCAATGCGTCTTCTCCGCCTTGACCTGGGTATAGTGCTTCGCCTCTATACGATTCGCCTTCGACTCCAGGGCCTTGTCCGGTCGATGGGTCTCTGGTGATCGGGCCTTTCGAGATTGCTAAGCTGGGGGTCTCTCGGAGAGTGACGGGTGGTCTTTGATCGCCTTCTCGGCTGAGATCTGTTTCGAGCTCCCTGTATTCGAGGACAGGCGTGCAACACGCATCTGTCTTGTCGAAAACTTTTTCCCATTCCGTCCTCGTTTTCTCCTTGAATATTCTTTCGAAAGTCGCCTTCAATTCCGGCCAAGTACTTCGATCTGATCTTGACTTCTCAATACCCTTACCACTCAAACCAAGACCCCTTAGAAGTTCCGCAAAAAATTGGGGTTCCAGAGCGCCCACAGACATGTATTTCCCATCCTTCGTTTCGTAAGTGTCGTACCATGGCGAGCCACTATCCAACATATTCTCTCCTCGGGGTCGGTCCCACATCGGTGCTTTCAATAACATTCGTGGAAACGACATGAGATATGAGGCTCCATCGACCATATTCGCTTCCACGACCTGACCTTTACCATTCTTCTCGCGAGCCAGCAGTGCAAGCAAGATTCCTTGGAATAGTGTAGCTCCTCCACCAGCAAAGTCACCGAGGATATTCGCAGGAGGCAAAGGCTTCTCGCCTTTTCTCCCCAGCATAGCCAAAGCTCCAGAAACGGCGATATAATTTATATCGTGCCCAGCCATATATTTGTATTTGCCATCCCTCCGGAACCCTGTAATGCGTCCTACTATAATTCTCGGGTTGATTCTGAGCAAGACCTCCGGTCCCAAGCCCAGCTTCTCCAGGATGCCAGGTCGGAAGGGATCAATCACAACATCCGTGTGTGGGATGAGAGACTTTACGAAGTCTACTCCCCGAGCAGACTTGAGGTCTACTGCTATCGAGGACTTGCGCCGAGTAAGCAAGTCGGCCGTAGGTGGAGGCAGCTCGCTCGAATTTGAGTGGGTGAGGTTCGGAATCGCACGATCCAGTCGTAGAACTGAGGCTCCATTATCTGCAAGCAAAAGGCCTGCAAAAGGCCCTAATATTTATTTATCAGCGCAGGAACGCCATGGAGACTTGGGGTAGGTATATCATACCAGGAGCAAGTCCAGCGAATTCTAATACACGAATGCCAGTCAAGGAAGGCTGTCCGACCATGTTGGGCTGCTCAAGGAGGTAATTGTCGGATAATGGGAGTCCAGTCGCGAATACGAAAGGCTAGATACATGACAATGGTGGTGAGTTGTGATTTGGCAGAGCTGACTGAACCGCGGGGTCTCAACGCGCGGTCCTCGGACCGAAGCTCTTGTCTCGGGCTATCAGGTGACATATGAGTTCAAGAAGCTACAAGTTCGGGACAGATCCATCACATTACGGGCAGATACTATACTGCAAAGCTCTTCTTCGTCACTTTCAACTGCGCGAGTCTGAGAGTAGAATGCTCGATCTAAAGATATTATAAATCATGATCAGACGGCCGGGACGTAACCTTTGCTTTCAGTGTTGGTTGCAAGCAAGTCTGGCCGCGAGACGCGCCCTGGGAAAACAAAATCAACAGGCAGTCTACCCGGGCTCATCTGGAATCTCTACGTATTTCAAGGCACCCTTGGCTTTCAGATTGATATTCCAGAAATTATTTAGGATTTTAAGGGAGAGTTACGGACACATTTCATAGCATCAACCGATGTACTCCTTCTAGTCTCAGGGGCTCGCTTATTTAACGAGACGATTAGATATTATTTTCAAGCCGCCTTGAAGTCTCTTATCTTTTTGGAAGCTCCTATTCATTCGCATGGGCTTTTTGTTTTTGGCGAATGCCAGGACGGCCGTTAATCATTATCGTCGATAGAAGCGCCAGAATGATTGGGCACTGCCACATCCGGCATCGTCCTTGGGGCTGGCACGCACGCAAGGCAGCGAGCGGGTGTTTGCGCCCATGACTCGATGAAGGAGAAAAGGGAAGCCAATGGAAGTCCCATTAGAAAAATTCGCCTAGATGTGATCTGCACTTGGAGTATGAGATTCTTGGCACATAAAAACAGATATTCGCATCGGATTTCATACTGAAGTTTGAAAACCAATATCAAATGATGAACCTGCCGTTATCCTCGCCAACCAAAGCAATAATAGCTCGATGGCGTTCTGTCCGCGAGGCTCGCCATGTCAGAAGCGGCCCGAGAATTCCAAGGAGAGCAAAGAGGGCGAGAAACACAGCGACCCATGTTCCGATCGTACTAGCGAGACTTGTTGGACCAGACATTACGAGTTGTCCTGTTCCAACTCGGTGGATGATTCTTGGATGGGGTCAATCGTTTTGTGAATAATCAGGCAGCCCTCGGAAGGTAGGGCTTAGGGGGGAAGTGGCAAGGATTGCAGCGACCGGCATCCAAATCAAGACCTGTCTGCAGAACTGCATACGCCACGCATGCTCATCTCTCGCATGAACCAATTGTGATTGAGCAGCAGCGAATGAGATTTAAAAGGACTTAGTAGAATACCTATCTGAACACGCTCCCATAAGAAGGAGCCAAGAGCAGAGAAGAAGTCATCTCGGTGACAAGTTAAAAGGAAGTTAGATGTACATCTGGAAACGTTTATTGAGAGCTTACTTGGGTGTATCCCATTTTCAACTCGTCTATACAGTATACCGGTACCTACCTTATGCTTGCTCCTCAATTTCATTTATCATGCTTTCGCTCGAATGAGACCAGTCACATGGCGAAAGTTTCCGTTGTGAGACTATAATGCCCGATTGACCATCACATTCCACCCAACAAGAAAGAGGGCCACATGGATGCAGCTCGTTCTCCCATCAGCTTGTACGACAATGCATCTATACAGTATTGGAAAGAATCCACCGTCGTCGCCACGGCAGACCGAGGACTGGCTCGACTCTAATTATACAGTCGTTTGCGTGGCGTATTCTACGCGCATTCTAGCTTCTCTGGTTGGCCTGTAGATATGAGGAGGCTGTTGACCTAGCCCTCAATTGGCGTCACACCGGCCGGGTGTAGATGGTTCCAAAATGATTTCGCTAAACCGCTTCGGTCGCTTGATCTATTGACTATCTTGCAAGGGCCAGTTCAGGGGAGGCATAACTTACAACTACCTACTCAAGCCTTGCCGCGCGGGTCCGGCATTCTGGAGATATGTCTTTCTTTTGATGAATGATGCTTGTCGCCGCGTAAAGAGAATTTAAGCTTCGCGCCGTCGCTCATTTACAGAACTTACGTAGTACTACTGGACCCCTGAGCCCCTTGGCGACGATCATTACGGTTACAAACAGATCCCCTCCCTCACTCTTTCGCGCTTTCCACGTCGCGAGAAGGGCTTTATTCCTTTCCTTGCCCTCGGGTCCTTGGGATCTCAAGGGATCCGGAGGTTTTCCCTTCAGTCTTTGGGCATCACATTCATTCCCCCGATCTCGCAATGGCACCTCTCAGCAGCAGAGATATCGCAGCAAGGGAACCACCCGTAACGTGGATGTCCCTCCCCAACAAACCGCAACTTCTCATCCTCGCCCTCTGCCGTCTCTCCGAACCTCTGTCGAACACCTGCCTCCTCCCGTACCTCTACTACCTCATACGATCGCTCCAGACGGGTGATGCGACCAGTCCAGCCTCGATATCACGACAAGCTGGGTTGTTAGTTTCGCTCTTCGCACTCGCACAGTTTGCGACTTCGGTGCCCTGGGCAAGCTTCGCGAACCACTATGGCAGGAAGCCAACGATAATGGTTGGATTGGTGCTGTCGATTGTGTCGAATGTAGGGTTCGCGTTCTCGACAACGATTCCCGCGGTGATGTGTTGGCGGGTGCTAGCGGGTATCGGGAATGGGAACATTGGTGTGATGCGGACAATGACCGCTGAGATTGTGCTGGAGAGGAAGTACCAGAGCCGAGCATTCTTGCTCCTGCCGTTAGTTTTCAACTCGGGAGTGGTGATCGGGCTGGCCCTGGGGGGGTGTTTAGCAGATCCGATTGTCAATATCCCTTGGTTCTTTGGGCCATCTGGAGTATTGAACTTGTCGAACGATCCGCAAGGGGTTGCCTGGATGCGAGCTTATCCATTTGCGCTGCCAACAATTTCCAATGCAGCAGCTTTGGGAGGAAGTTTGTTTCTCGCAGTCTTTGGTTTGAAGGAGACGATGCCGGGCCTAGAGCACAAGCAAGACCGCGGAATTGTTGCAGGAGCTGCGATGAGAAGACTCTTCCGTCGAGTAATCCTCCGAAAGCACTTCTCTGGATATCTAGCCCTGGACGATGAAGACCAGATTGACCCCGAGGACATGCCCTCGCCGCTGCGTAAGGCCTCCCCACCCCAAGCCCCCCCCATCGAAGTGAAAGCTCTTCCATCACCTCGACCAAGACTCTCCATGACAGACCCGGCTATTTGGACCCGAGAAGTTCTCTTCACCATCATTTCCTTTGGTCTGCTCCCTCTTCACAACTCAGCATTCATGCAAGTCTTCCCGGTCTTTCTGTCCACCCCACCCTCAGAGGTACCCGCCACATCGGCCCTCAAGTTCAACGGTGGTCTCGGTCTGCCATCACCCACCATCGGTCTCTTCCTTTCCGCATTTGGTGTCTTCGGAATCCTGATCCAGCTCTGCATCTACCCCTCGTTGCAAGCCTGGCTCGGAACCCTTCGCAGCTACCGAGTCGCGCTAGCGATGTTCCCCTTCGCCTATCTCCTTGCGCCTTATTTGTGTTTGATTCCCAACTCGCACTACGTATTCCAAGGAGGCAGCATCGCCTTCATCCTCTTCCTGCAAGTGACCGCCCGCACGTTCGGCATACCCAGCAGCGTGATCCTGCTCACGAATTCGGCGCCATCGCCCCTTGCTCTCGGCGCCGTGCATGGCGTGGGCAACATGCTCAGCAGTCTCAGTCGCGCGCTGGGCCCAGCATTGGGAGGAGTGATCTTTGGCTGGGGTATGGAACAAGGCGTGGTCGGTGTCGTCTGGTGGAGCTACCTGCTCGTTATATCCGCGGCGGGTCTGGCTTGGAGTTGGATGCTACAGGAGGGTGAGAGGCCGACGATGAGGCCCGTGATGAAGGGAGAGTGTATCGAGTTGGCGAGTGGTAGCGAATTAAATGAGAAGGGTGGGAGTGCTAGGGAAAGGGGTCTTGGGAGTAAGAGCTGAGAACCATCCTATGGCACATGAGTAATGTTTAAGATGAATGTACAGATACTACGTAGATGGACGTGGAAGCGAAAGTCAATATTGTCTTGCCGGTAGGTGTTGTACATGGGCCATTGTTCCAAATCGAGCAGAGAGTTATGGGAGATGCTCCACGTTTATCTTGGTAATGTACGGAATGATCATCTACTCTGTGAGTCTATTTGTGGAAGTGTATGATGTGTATGGGTTAACGACTTATGTATGGCAGGCAGTCTGGCTTTTGATGATAGTCGTTGGGAGAAAGAAAAGATACGGGGACTTCTTTCGAACTGCGTTCAATCAATACTACTTCAAATCTTGATATAGGTTATTGACGCCATCCCGAGTATCTATCTGGCTCGAACAGGATGCTGCTCTTGGAAGCAGAGATGCATACCGTACATACTACGTGCATGTTACAAAAATTGAGTTTATTTTATATCTCTTATTTATTTTATTTTTGACGAACCTCGGTCCAGATCCTTGCTGTGGCCCGCTCGTCCGCTTCTTGATATGGTCAGCAGGTAACGGAGAACCTCCGTAATCTCCCCCGGATTTCTACTTACAGTACAGTAGCGGCCGAGGTGAGAAATTTTTTGACTTTTGCCGGTCTCCACTTCCCCGACTTTCCATTGTTTATTTTTTTTTTTCCTTTCCCTCGATTCGTTCGTTTCGTTTCGTTTCGTTCGTGCGGGCGGGCGGGCGAGTTTCGCCTTGATTGCGCCTTACATGGGCAGTTAGTTCACTGGTCCGTGAGCCCGTGACTCGTTGACATACCACGGTACAGGCCTAAGTATTACCCCTCGAGGGTGCCTTAAAAGTTTAGTTTCCACTTTAAACCCCCTGTTTTCCCTACCCTCGAGGGGTAATACTTACGCCTGCGACGTAGTACTACAGCTAGCACCTATTCAGCTATCTTGCGAAGGCTTATTTGATTGATTCTCTTGTTTTGGAATGCAAAACTAAACCAGTTTGTCAAGTGGTCAAGTGACCGACCGCTCTGGCTGGATGTTCTCTCGTCTGGATACAATGTGCTTGCTGTAGTACCTTGGTAAGTAAGAGACTCTACCTATCTATTATTGCTTCCCGCCATCCGAACAACTGCGGCTGTCCACCTCGCGATATCTTGGTTTGCCGAGAACCAAGGCGTTGGGTTTTCCTTGACCTGGGAGTTGTCGGTCGTACGGAAGTTGGATGTACGAGTATGCTCGCCTCGGTTCGTTTCTTGCAACCATCGTATATCGTCGGCGCTATCGCTTTCCTCCTCTCGTTGCGCAAAACCGGGACAAGAATCCGACGGCCGACAGGATGTACAATGTACAAGGTACTACTACGTTTGTAGTCCGTATATGTACTACTACTACGTACATGCACGCGAGTATTTATAGATGTCTTATCTGTTTGTGCGTTTTCCACAAGTGACAGCAGGAGGCCTCTGCTTCTTTTCTCCGCAACGCCGGCCCGGGCTTTCAGCATTATCTGGCAGCTGGATGGTGGATCCCCATCTCTTGTATATTGGCTTTGCCCGGCTTTTCTTGTTTCGACGCTCCGCAGTCTTTAGTCATATAGGGCGCAGTAGCGGCATGGGGGCCACCCACCCTACATGGCTCCGTCCACCCCATCGAGGCTCTGGAGCCTGAAGTTCTTCTTCCATAATGCCGGCTTGGCTGGGATAAGCCATCTCCCCAGCATCTCTCTGGGTAACATAGAATTGCGGTCGGGGTGGCCAAGACTGTCTCGGCAAATGCCCAGTGGGTGGGGAAAGTGCTTGAGATTGTCACTATCAGATGAAGTGCCCAACGTCGTGTGATGGCAGGCATTGCTGTTCTGTGAACTATATCGAATGCACGACAATCGTTGCGAAAGTCTGAGAGAGAGGATCTTTGACAAAGATAGGTAGAAGGGAGCGAAGCCTGGGGTTGTTCCGGCCGAGGAAACGTGCATACTGCTTTGGAGGCCGAGGAGTGGTTCTGGGAAGTACAACTACTACCTTTGAGGCAACATTCCCCTGCTCATCCATGTGGCTTGCACCAACGAGCTCGAACTGTCGAACTGTCTTTACCCCGCCAAGGACACCAAGCCGTTGAGCGTCTGGGAACCCCCATGGCTGTCAACACTGACTTTAGTCTGTGTCTGCGGCCGTATGTACTAGAGACGGACTGCTCGTCGAGGATATAAGCTCCACCCCCCGCGTCAGTTCAGCATCCCTCTCGCCTCCAGTACCTCCCAAAAAGCCCGAGGTTTCGTCCATTACAATTAGTCAAGATGGAGAAGATCAACAAGAGCGACTCCTCCGTGGATATGGAAATTTCCCAGACTGAAAAGGCGAAAGTCGAAGTCTCCCCCACGATTCAAACCTCGATAGACGATAGCCCCCATTTCGATGCGCAGAGGACCAAGAAGCTCTTGCGCAAGTTGGACTGGCATCTTGTTCCATTCCTATCACTTCTCTATCTGTATGTCCTAACTATCCTATAGCCGGGCCCTCTTGCTCGTGTAATCTAAGCTCCAAGCTGATCTTCTCAGTCTTTCATTCCTGGACCGTACCAACATCGGAAATGCCAAACTGTTTGGTCTTGAAGAGGACTTGGGCATGCCAAAGACAGGCTCGGGCCCCGTCCAATACAACCATGCCCTTGCTATCTTCTTTCCATTCTACGTGGCGGCGGAAATCCCGTGAGTAGAGAGTAGATCCCAGTCCGCGTGGTTGTCCTCTCAAACTGAAATTTCTGCTCTACAGGTCCAATATGATGATGAAGCGCCTGCGGCCAAGTGTTTGGCTCACAATCATTATGCTGTAAGCCTCTCTCCGTGCCTCGACACTTCTGTATGGTCTGACGTGAGATACAGTGCCTGGGCTGTTTGCACTATCTGTTTGGGTTTCGTCAAGAACTTTGCAGGGCTGATGACTACCCGAGCCTTCCTCGGCTTGGCTGAAGGAGGGCTGTTTCCCGGTGTCACATATTACATCACCATGTGGTAAGTGTCTACCCTCCTAGGATCACTGCATTCGCCGTCTTACCGGATTTCTAGGTATGCTCGCCACGAATGTGGTCTCCGTATGGCCATGTTCTTCTCGGCTGCAACAGCTGCAGGTGCTTTCGGTGGACTCCTCGCATTTGCTATTGGTAAAATGGACGGCGTTGCTGGCCGCGGTGGCTGGTCCTGGATCTTTATTCTCGAAGGCGGCGCTACCCTCGTGGTCGGATTGGTTGCGTACTGGTGCATCTACGACTATCCTCGCACGTAAGCACGGCGGCCCTGACTTTTGGCTGGTGTTGCAGGGGGCTAACATGCAGCAGAGCCCAGTTCTTGAGCGATGAAGAGCGTACAGAGGTTGAACGTCGTCTCAAAGCTGACCGTAGCTCTCTGGCCGACGAGTTCAATCTCAAATTTGCAAAGGACGCCCTCACAGATTGGAAGATCTACGCACACATGCTCATCACCATCGGCATCTACACGCCTCTCTACTCCGTTTCCCTCTTCCTCCCCACCATCGTCAAGAATATGGGATACACCAACGAGACTTCCCAGCTCATGACCGTCCCTCCATACGCCGTCGCGTGTGTGTTCACCATCGGCACTGGATACCTTGCCGACAGGCTGAAGCAGCGAGGAATCTTCATGCTCATCCACGAGTTCGCCGCGATCATCGGTTTCGTCATGCTGGCTTCTTCCCAGAAGCCCGGCGTCCAATACACCGGTACCTTTTTCGCAGCGTCTGGCATCTACCCTCTGATCCCTATGGGAGTCGCCTGGAACGGTAACAACATTGGCGGGTCGCTCAAGCGAGGTGTCGGTATCGCCATGCACGTCGGGTGCGGTAATCTGGGTGGTGTCATTGCCGCCTACTCCTTCCTGCCCGAAGACTCTCCCAAGTATGTTTGTGTTTTGCTTGCTTCCATGAACCCCCTTCCCCCCCCCCCCCGTACTGTACTGTACTATACCTTTTCCGCCTCGGACTCACTAACAAAAAACAGGTTCACCTCAGGACACGTGACGCTCGCCGGCCTCGTCACCATGTCTTTTGTCCTGACCTTGTTCATGACCACCTACCTCCGTCGCGAGAACCAGCGCCGCGACCAGTGGGCCATTGAGAACAACCGGCTCCCGGAGAACTACACCGAGCAGGAGAAGGATGCCGAGCGTGAGAGGGGCGACAATGCGACGTTCTACCGCTATACCGTCTAGATCTTCTCCCTCTCTTTTCTGCCCCTCCCCTCCTCCTTGTCTGTCGGGAGGTTTTTTCTGCAAATGTGCTGGCTGGATCAGGAGTGCGGCGTTGGGGTTGGGTTGGGTTGTACAAAGTGTGATGATGTACGGAGTATATACATCCGTTTGCTGTGTGAAAAGGAAAGGTCGTAAAACAACATACCCGGAGTATGGTATCGGCAAGCATAAGTATTATCAATATCTTCAGGAAAGAAAAGGAAAAAATTCATGAAAAGAACAACAAATATTGTGAGGTAGTACTCCTCCATAACTGCTCTTCCTTCTCTCTCCCTCTCTTTCTGTCTCAAAAATGACCCCCTGGCCGGTGTGTCCCTACCAGTATTCCTCCCACCTCTTCTCCCACTGCCAACCTTCCCCGCCAAGAGTGGGTACAGCAAAGGCTATACCAGGCTGCCATGCCAGCCCTACGGCGAGAAAATACTATCCGTATTTTGTAGATGCGCAAAGAAAAGAAGAAAAAAAAAACCTTACCAACTCTAACATATTCCCACACCATTAAGCAAAGAAGAAGAAGAAGAAGAAGAAGAAAAAAGAATCGACACCAGGGAGACTCGAACTCCCGCTCCCGAAGGAAACAGCGAGTAACTGAAGAAGGTAGCAAGCTGTCGCAATAGCCACTATGCGATGGTGCCGTGGTTGGTCGGCTGGTTGGTTGGTTGGCCTATTGATGGCGACCGGCGCGATTGTTTGGGTGTATATTGGCGTTATGGAAATTGTGCGGTGGATGGTAAGGTACGGTAGGTAGGTAGTGCGGGGGGGGGGGGTTGATTGATTGATTTTAAGCGAGGTGTCACGATCGAAAAAGTCACGGAAGGGAACAAAAGAAGATGCATTGATGAACTGAACTAGGTTTGATGGCTGGCTGGCTGGGTTTCGTGTGAATGTGGATTGGATTGAGGTTGGTGATGTGTGTCTCGCTACGTCGCAGCCTGCCATCCATCGCTGATTGATGATGCGGAGCTTTATCCTGGGGTCTACTGCGCGCTGCCTGGCAGATAAATGCTGTGTGGCACTGGACAGACCACACATCGCTCGGCTTGGATCCTGATCTCGAGGCACGGGAGAGGAGAGTGGTTTGTGAGCCATTCGTAGAGATTCTGGCGGATGATCTACGTCTGCAAATGAGATCTGAGGCTCGTCTAATATCTACAGAAGAGGAGGTACGGACAGTCTGGTTTGGAAGCATCTCTCTGGATCTCTCTCTCACACAGCCTCACGGTCTCCATCCGGGACCGGTTCCCCCCGCTCCCCCCGCTCCTCCCGCTCCTCCCGCTCCTCCTCCGCCGGCTCCTTCCGAACGGCCGTCGCCAGATCTACAAAGCCAAACGCCACACCGACCAGAGCACAGATGGAGGCGAGCCAGAAGTACGGCAATCCAAGCCATGGTCCCCCCAGCTTCATGCCCAGCGTGAAGAAATACGCGAGCGCCGGCCCGGCAAACATGGTCCCGATGGCTTCCACCATGCCCACCAGCGTGTAGATCCGCGAAGTATGCTGCGGGTCGATGAAGGCGGGGAGGAGCGCGCGACATAGCGGTGCGAGGCCGTCCCCGAGCGTGGCCACGCCGATGCCCATGAACACCGTCGGCGTGGCGGGCGTTCCGAGGAGCAGCATCCCGGCCATGGCAAGCGCTGCCGAGGACTGCACGAGGACGAGATCTTTCTTCGCGGCGGGAAACCGGAACGGGAGTCGCGGGGAGAGGAGGAGCTTGGAGAGGCCCGGCAGGGCGACCAGGAGGACGAATACGCTGACGAGGCCGCGGATGGAGAGGAGGTATCCGGTTTGGGCCAGCGACCAGCCGAACCGCTTGCTGAAGTACTGGAGGAAGAATTGGGTCTTCCCAATAACGAGGGGGTACGAGGCAACGAACGTCACTATGATTATGGCCAGGGAACGGGATCTTAGCATCGTGAAGGATTCGAGGAGCTGTGCCACGGTGTTCTTGAGGTGCGTCTTCAGCCCCGATAGGGAAGATTGACCTTCTGGCACGTCTTCGTCGGCATCCGCCTTCGCCTTCAGAGTTTCTGGGATGAAGAATATCAGACTCGTCCCAACTGGTAATAGCGCCAGTGCCATGAGGAGGGGGACCCAGGGCGAAGAGGTCTCCATAAGTCTTGAGGATACGGGAGGCCCTATGAGACTTCCGAGGAGAGCCGCGAGTGCCATGAGAAAGAATGCAGATGCCCTGGGAGGAAGGTTCAGCATGTGAGGAGGTCCATTACTCTGAGGTGCCCTTACCTATCGGCGGGCAGTTCAACATCAGCTGCTATACTGTAGATGACAGCTAGGGTTACAGGCGATCCGCCACCGATGACTTCAAAGAGCGAGGTAAATATGATGAGGTGCACCGGGATCGTTCGCCAAAAGCGGAGCACTGAAAAGTTCATAATCATAGTGAGCGTCACACCGAGCATAGCCAGCAGGAAGACCGGTTTCCGGCCAATTCTGTAGAACACGCCAGTCAGCTTGCATTCAAGGGAGAAATAGCCTGGGCCAGATCAGTCCTGCAGCACCGAGGCAGATATCGGTGCTCTCCTGAACACACTCAAAATACCGGTTCCAACACGCAGTGATGGGGCACTCACTTATCAGCCAGAATGCCATATGGGAACGCAAACGCGAATCCTAGAAGTAAAAAAGAGTCTGTTTTAGTCTCGTGACCAGGGAAACCGAGCGACTGGTGATGATTTACCGACCGCAGCCTCGAGGGTGGTGATGAGTCCATTCAGGAGAGCCAGCTCCGACTGCACCGAGTCCACCTTGCAGAGGCGCTCGTCAATTTCACCACCAGCATCTCCTCCCCCGCGGGCATCGCCGTAGAAGCGGTGGCAGAGGATATCTTCCAGGATGCGCATCGTCGGCACGACGACCAGTGCGCCGGCGGTGGAAATGGTGACGAGCGACGAGGCGAGAATCAACACGATGCCCCGGGGGCTTGTGACCTGAAGACGAGCAGTCCACCATCTTCCCCTTCCCGTCGTCGTCGTCGTCTTCTTGGGATCTCGTCTTGTCTCGCTCAGAAGCGGGGATTCCTCGGTGGGCGAAGGGTTGAGGGTCATGGCTGCTTTGCTTGCTTGCTTGCTTGCTGCTCTTCGCTTTGCTTCAGTCCAATGCTATGTTTCTCTTGTGTGCAGGCTCTCGTGTAGAGGAAGATACAATCGCCTACGAGAATTTCACACCTGTGTCGAGGTTTATTTTGACTGTCGATTAGATAAGATAAGATTCAAGGATTCCAGGGCGCGGTGGCAAACAAGCTTCCCCTTGGAGAATGACAAGGGAAAAGCGGACCAATGACAAGCTTCATACCACTGCTTAGGATACGCTTATCAGGCGACGACGATATTGAAATAGGTAGGAAGGTCGTTATATCCAAGAGGGAGTCAACATCAAGTAGAATCTCTAGACTCTGTGAAAAAAGTATCAGAATACTCGCGTAATTGTTATTTCAGAACAACCGATTATAGAGACCCATCCGTCAAATTAGTTTAGCAGGCCGATTCCGCTCAATCCTTTGGAATGTACCGACCGCCAGCCAACTTCAGCGATTCTCTAATAACGACCTCCAAACCGTCGCTCTAATACAGCAGATCACACTATCACCAAATCCTCAAATCCGATTTGAAATATTTCAATTGATCTTGATTGCACACCGTCGACATCACCCTCGTACTTCCTTTCGATCATATCACTCTTCTCCTAGCCGGATAAAGGAGCTACGTCGTGCCAACAAAGATGCCGAGGCGAGTCCCAAGGCGCTAACATCCATCCATCCATCCATCCATCATACCTCCTCTCCAAACCCTCCAAACGAATCAAAAAGTAAAACCCGTCATGCCCTCATCCCGCTCGTCAACAGGTACCTAGCCCAGACCGCCCACCCGCCCGTCCTAACATCGCGAAGAAGCGCAAGGAGGTCCAAACAAACAACCTACGGTAACCGAATCCGCTACGCGAAAACAACCGAGTCCGAGCTCCTGAATTCCTCGCCTACCTACCTACCTACCTACCTACCTACCTACCTACCTACCTACCTACCTGCCTACCTATTTACCTATGCAACCCTCTTCAGCCAGACAAGATAAAAGCAGTACACGGGCACTTCACTCCCCTCTCCAAGCCATCACCCTCTTCGACCTCCGCAGACACAGCTAGAATCCCGTGAATCGCCCGCTCGGAAATCTAGTCACGGTCGTGACGTTCTGGAATCCCTTCCGGGACAGCTTGGAAAAGTAGACGTCCACCCCCCGCAGCGCTGTTGGGTGCGGTACCGGCTGCAGCGAGAGACAAGTGTGATGTTGCAGGGGTACGGAGCGAGGATACACAGGTGCTAGTCCGGGGAGTGGCCAGGCGCTCGTTCAGAGGAGGGGAGGGGAGGAGCTGCTGTGGTGGTGGTGGTGCCGGGGAAGAGAAAGAGGAGGAAAGGAAAGGAAAGGAAAGGAAAAGAAGAAGAGAGACGGGGGTGGTAGAATGCGTAGCGGAAAACTGCAAAAGTCGGATGACTTTGAATATGATGATGCGGAGTGGAAAGTATTTGTTTGGTGCGTGCAAGCGTGTGCTCGCCGATTGCCGGCTAGATATTGCTGCATGCTTATAATCACACCAGCAGCCCTCAAAGCAGGCGATATGAGCTGCGAATTCCGAAAACTGGTATAACGAACCGGTGTCGACGGCTTAGGACGTCGAAGAAGTTTATTGGTAACCGCGACACGCAAGTCCGAGCCAGAGTCAGAGTCTTCAAACGGGCAAAATTTGGCTTGAAGAGATATGCGATTGGATGGGTCGGTACGCCCTGGTTAGGCAATGCTACTAAAAAGCTAGGAACTTAAAAATAGGAGCTACTCTCGGAGCAAAGCTAAATGAAAAAGACGCCGGAAACAAATAGCAAGATGCAGCTGAGTTATACAAGAGCAGACCGTTAAATAAAAGTAATTAAAGACAGAAATACCGTTCTTCCAGATTGTTAATAATCGACCAGTTTCAGGCCAACCCCAGACGAAATTAGATATTACTCGTAATTCCCGACTGGATGCCCTCCAAAACTTCAAGGAGCTCTTTGTAAACCTTCTCCTGCACTTTCTTCCCCTTTTCGCTCCTCACCCACCTACTTGGCTCTTTAATCTTGCAATCCTGCAGATACTTCCCATGCGTATCTTCCGAAGCCGCTGCAGCAGACACGAGCGTCCGACTGCCCATCTCCGTCGTTCGGGCAAGGAAGAACTTTCCGATCGGTGCCAGAATGTTCAATGGGAATGGGACATTGCGCATGAGCTCGGAGTGGCAGAATCCTGGCGTCAATGTGTTGAGTATGACTGGGTTTTTTCCGGACGCTTTCATCGCAGGGGCTAGTTCGCGGATGACGAGGACTTCGAGGAGTTTGGAGAGGTTGTATCTATCGCGCTGGTTCTTGGGATTCTTGAGGGCGGGGAAGATGGCGGGCGCGTCTTGTTCGACGAATTTTGCCTGTGATGCGGTCAATCCTGCCATTATAACAAACTACAGATGAGATTTACCTGTTCATGGGCTTCTGAGGAAACGATGACCAGGCGAGGCGTGAAATTATATTTCGATGCATCAGCGCGAAGCTTGGGAAGCAACAACAATGCCATCAAGAAAGTCGACAGCACGTTGACGGTGATCGTACTCTCCATGCCCTCCAGCTCGGAATATCTGAACGTGGCAATGCCGGCATTCTCCAACAAGACATCCAAGCGCTCAAGACTTGCAGCCTTGTCTGCGAACTCCTTGACGCTCTCGTACGATCCTAGATCAACGAGCCATACCTCTACCACGCCCTCTCTTTTGGTAGATTCCTCGATGGCTCTCTTCGCAGCTTCGCCCTTCTCCAGACTTCGGCACGCGAGAATCACCTTCGAGGCCCCCAGTCGGACGAAGTGTCGTGCGGCTTCGTACCCTAGGCCGGTATTGCTGCCAGTCACAATTATGGTTTGACCTGTAAAGTCGGTGGTTGGGGTTGGGAGGGTAGTCCATTGGGATTTGAGGAAAGAGCTTAAGAAACCTTCAGGACTGCAATATCGTCAGCGGAAGAAAAATATCGTGGTGTGTAATTGGAGGAGACATTGGGGAAGAGAGGAGAGAGCTGCGTGCTGGTCGAAGACTCCATTGACAAAAGACGGTGCAACTCACAGGTTGAACGAGGCAAGTAGGTTCTTCATACCTGGTGGCTGCTGGATTTATCTAGTTAAAGAGGAAGACCAATTAGTTCACAATAGATTAGCAGATTCGCAAGTTTGTAGAGCAATGTAGTTTTGGCAGCCAGAGAGACAAGAAGTCACGGAGAATTTGCTGAAACGCAACGGACACGCTATTGGCCTCAAGCCTCGTCACATGATATCGACTGTGCAGGTATCTACCTAGTTCGCGCTCGAGTTTAGTCCTAGATATGTTGAGGTCTTGCAATTTCTCAGAATGCCAGTCGCGTTGTACTTTCGCTTGGATGCGAAGTAGGTGGAGGAGAATAGTGGCGTGAAAAATGATTTCTAACGCCAAGACCCGCAGTGAGCAAGCAGTAAGCATTGGTCTCTCGCTACCTACCTACCTTACCTGCCTACCAGCCTACCAACCTACCTGCCGACCTACCTACCTACTTATCTACCACCCATCCGGGCATCTTTGAACTTATGACTTTTTTTTTAATGGTGAGCCGGTCCTATTCTCTATGGATCTTGTTGTCAAACATGAAAGTGATACGCTGCAGCTCTACAGGTTCCGTGGCGGTGCATAGCTGGCTTCTCGGATAGTAACTGAAGAAAGTCCATCAGGACATCCCAGACGATGTATCATTTCTTGCGGGTCAATGGTCATTGGTTTTGAGATTCAACGACAATTCAGCCAGAAGTGTTACCACCAGTCATTATCCATGCTCGGAAAGTAAACAACATCATGAACGCTTTTCGCTCTCCCATTTCCGTCTTTGTATCCGGCCTGAACCACAGCGCCTAGATCTTTAGTATGCGAACCCTTCCTTTTCGAGACCCTTCTTTTCCTTGTACCTAAATAAGCGTGTCAGATCTCGGTCTACCATGATGGTCTCAATGATGATTCATACGCGAAGCCCTCTTTTTCCAAGTCTCTGTACGCAAATCCCTCCTTCTCAAGATCTTTCTTCTCCTTGTAGGCGAAGCCTTCCTTCTCAAGGTTCTTCTTAGCCTTGTATGCGAACCCCTCTTTCTCGAGGTCTCTGTAAGCAAAACCCTCCTTCTCCAGATCTCTCTTCTCCTTGTAGGCGAAGCCCTCCTTCTCAAGATCTCCGACCTGGATGGAGGTTGGAAGGGCCGAGACCATGGCACCAACCAGGGTGAGAAGGCTGATAATGATCTTCATATTTATGGAGGACTTGTTGGATATTGAAGAAGAAGAAAAAAAGGTGATGTAGTATCCTAGGACGCTTGGGAGGGTGGAACCTTTGATCTCAGGTCATAGAGGGACGAGCCATAGAGATCGGGGGAGACTTAAGTCCAGAGAGAACCTTCCTCTCCCAGAAAAGACGGCTCAGCTCGCCTCGCGCGGTCATCTCTCAAAGAGGCTAATCCTCCTGCAACTCGTCTGACAGTGGAACAGATTGTGCGGAGTTGATTCGTGCCAGGTGGGGAATCGCCACCCTGTTCCGAAGCCATCGGTGAGTTGACCTCAAATAGTGTAGAGTGACTGGCTCGGAATAACTGAGACATTTACATAGACTTGTTCAGGCAGGTCGTTAAAATATGACAGGTTTGAACGTTGACCAGGCCAGCGGAACTGAAGTCAAATCCGAGCAATTCCGAGTCCGGGCTTCGCACATGATGGACGCACCTCCAGGAAACGCGATGTGCTGGACTTCGGAGGGTCATCTCGAATGACTACTAGCTCTCTACGCCGATACTTACGATCCTGCCACCAGAAAGGAACGACGAAGAGCTTTGTCGCCAATCACATGATCGATGGGGTTCGGAACAGGCCCGAGCATCGTTATGAGCGCAAAGAACCCTCAAGATGAGGAAGATCATTCTTTCTTGGAAGAGTTCCAGTACGAGACCAATAAAAAACAGCCTAAACCTCGTCGCTGGCAATGGCTGAGAAGCTCTGCCCTACCTTGGACTCTGGTCACTATCTTGTGCATCTACACAGCGACCTCGAGAATCCTGCCTTCGTTCTCAACCCATGACTTGTGGACCTCTACAGATTTCTGTACGTAAAACCAGAAGCCCAGGATCAAAAGTAAGACGAGCTTCTGACCGAGCCAAGTTCCCGCAAGAAAGTCGATAGTCTTGACCGAAGTCAGATTTTCCAGTAGTCTTGACTGGCTGGACGAGGAGCGCATTGTCAGGATATCAGATCCGCTGCAGCCCGTCTACATAGGCAACGACACGGGAAATATTGATCGTGAATGGCACAAAATCATATACCGTACGGTCCGCTCTATTTCACCTGGCCAAACCTTAACTAATCAGACTTGTAGCTGCGGACTTGCCGCTAAGTGACGAGGAAACGAAATATGTGGGAGGAAAATTGCAACGTAATCCTGTGTCGGGAAAATTTACAATCGAGTAGGTTGTATGGGCTCTTTTTTTGACGGGGGATTTGCTAACACTTGTGATGCATCCAGGCTGGAAGTTTTTCACAGTCTTCACTGCCTGGTACGATATGCGGACTCGTCTACCCAGTTGTCATACTGACCACGTCCAGAACATGGTGCGGAAACGCGTCTACTCAGAATTATATCCAGAAATGTTGACAGACAATGCCAGGATCCACGTTGGTCAGTGGTAACCCGGAAGTCCACGAGAAATTTGAGGCTAACACAATCGTGGAGATCATTGTATCGAGTCCCTGAGAGAGTTGATCATGTGCGAGGGGAATATGACTCCTATTCCACTGGAATGGTCAGAGAAAGGGAAGAGAATGAACCCGAATTATTCCACGACGCATTCGTGCCGAAATTTTAACATGTTGAAAGATTATGCTGTCGAGAGAAGTCAAAGTGGAGCATAGATCCTTGAATTTGAACATCTTCCTAGCCCGTCATTGAAGCAACAAGTGGTTACTTGTGAAACTAGGCTTGTTACAGTATCATGGTGGCATTCTACTTCACTCATCAAACTAAAGACATGGGGAATATACACGATGAGCCTGTGTGGCTTTGAACAAGTATCAAGACCAAACCCTTGCCGTTATTCCCATAGTCTCATGCCTTACAACATGCCTAGCAAGTATTCAGCAACGGAAAAATCTGCGCGTTGATCTGCATCAAATCCGTCCTCGCCTCCAAGATCCCACCACAATGATGCGTATGATGAAAATTCAACAGATGCGTCGTCAACCTGGCCCCTCTCTGGATCGCCCGATGCATCCTCTCCCAGGCCAACTGACAATGCGTCACATGAAACCCGTGCTGTACCCAGAACGGCTCCCTCGTCCCCGCGCTCGCCGCGAGCCGGTCCTCAAAAACCTCTCGGGTACCCAGCTCGTCCTCGAAGAAGCGCCAGCCGTAGTCGAGGAAGTGCTGGTGGAGCTCGTCGTCGTAGCAGGCCTCCGGGACCCAGCCCAGGACCGACATGTCGAATGCGCAGCCGTGCTGCACCGCCTCCGTGCTGGAATTGCCGCACCGGTGTTGAGGATTGTGCCGCTGCTCCTCGCCGTAGAGGCGCTGGATTGCGTTTTGCACGTCTGGCTGGGCGTTGGAGAGGAATTTGTTGAAGATGACTTGGGCGGTTGCGGTTGCTAGGAGCGTGAGGACGATCGTGGCTGCGATGTCTAATATACGCCGGTTTCGAGGGATCGGTGCCTGCCTGTATTTGGATTCCACCTCGGGCAGAAATCCAAACCGCTCTGAAGCATTGCCGATGGTCGTGCTCCCATCTTCGCGATCGGACGAGTTCCTTGCCGAGATGGGGCTATAGTTCGACGAGTTGGGTTTCGAGGCCTGCATTGTGAATGTAAGTATCGTATTCGAGAGACTCACTATGATGCTTACCATAACTCCTGCAGTTGGGAGAATTTCCCGTCTCTGGTGGCAGAGCTTGCAGTGCGCAGGTGAAGTTTTGCAGTATACGTCGAAACCCATGTTGCAAGTCGACTGACCTCCCGACATACCCACCCGAACGCCCACCCCCCATCCTTGAAAATTCCGAAATGCAGCTGGTAAAATGCCCCCACAACCAGCTTTCCGAAGACTGCATCCATCTAACCGACTCCTTTTCCGATTCCGTTAAGCGAGGACGAATGCTCCCAGCCACCTTGCCTCTTCGGGTCTCAAATACTGTCAATCCGCTCAGCTAGGCGGCTAGCTATCTTATTGTGCAGATCGTATCTCTTCCACCGGCAGATTTTGTGGATGATGTGAGGGGTTGTGTTACGATTGTTTGCTGAAAGCCCGAACTCGATCTACTTATCCCACATGACCATACTCTTCCTTGAGCCAGAGCTTCCGTCGACACCGGGACCAGTCTTCCCGAATACACCTCTTTCAGGCCTCTTGAAATATCGTATATTCATATCTACGTTGCTACGGTTTACGCAATGTCGACATTTAGCGACGTGGATATGTCGAGCACGGAGAAGAGGGATGCTCAGGCGGCACTTCTGAGAGACCAACTCCAAGAATCTTTACAGTATTCGACGCCCAGGAAAAGCAGCAGGTTGACTCAGTGCATTGTGGTCCTGACCGCATTTTCTCTTGTCTGTGCCTCCACGGTCGGGTTCCTCGCCCTCAAGCAACACCTTACCACTTCACCTACGTCGATATCACACGATGACTTCTCCATGTCACAATCGTCTTGTATGACACCCTGTTATTAATGAATGAAATGAATACAGCAACATCTAACCATGGGTTTTCCGAGCAGGCGTCACACCTATGGCTCGTCCCGAATGGAGATCTCTCCCCGACCACCGACGATTTGCCTACACAGTCGCCGTAGAGCGCTTGATGAAGCTCCCGTCTCGTCTGGGGCTGAACACCAGTCGATACGACGACTTCACATACGTCCACATACAGGTGAAGAACCAAGTTCACCACACGGCTCTTTCGCTGCCTTGGCATCGGCTCTTCGTCTCCGTGTTTGAGCAGGTATTGACGACGGAAGGGAAATTCGACGGTCCGTTGCCGTAGGTAACCCACTCGCACAGATGAACGCGATGTGCGAAGTAGCGGCGCTAGCGATTCGCTGATGCTGGTGATAGATACTGGGACTGGACACTCGATGCCGCCGACCCTCTCATCTCGCCTATCTGGGACTCGCGTGTTGGATTCGGTGGCAACGGCACAGCGCCAGATAACTGCGTGACCGATGGCGTCCTCAGTAGTTATACAGCTGCCTATACCGAGGAGGGCTACGCGCCTCATTGTGTGACCCGCAAGTTCGACAGTACATATAAGGAAGGTGCGATGCACGGGGAGAAGTGGAGGCCGGAGGTCATCAAGGAGATCATAATGGGAGCTGCGACGTATGAGGACTTCCGGGATCAGCTGGAGAGCGGACCGCACAAGCAGTTGCATCTGGGCATCGGCGGAGAAATGAACTCGATCAGTTCTTCGAACGGTAGGCTCAGCTGGTGTTGGAGTTCGATAGTAGAGGAGGTGGTGGCTGACAGGAGGATCGCAGATCCGCTATTCTTCATCCACCATGCGCAGATTGACAGACTCTGGTGGCTTTGGCAACAGCAGCACCCCTCGCAGAGAAATGTAGAGTTTGCCGGGCCGAAATACGAAGACGGCGAGAGGGCGGCGACCGGAGCCGACGTGACGGACCGTGTCTTGATGCTTGGCCTGGGCAAGGACCACTCGGTCCGAGATCTTCTCACAACGAAATCGGATGTGCTTTGCTACAAGTACGCGATAGATCTGTAGAGGACTAAATATTGGGTGAACTAATAAGAAGATACTTTCGGGCGAAAGCATGTGTGGTCCAGTCTCAGGATCACCGCAATTTTCAGAAGTCTTCCCGCAGCCGCAGGGCTTCGTCTGCATCCAGCAACTGGAAATTCTCATCCCATGACTGATCGATAGAGGCATGTGGATGAAAGAAGTCGTCCATAGATCCTCCATGCGAAGAAGCCGCCCCACTACCGAGGAACAAAACAATCCGGACGATGAATAGCTTGCGCCCAGCGTCGGGACTAAGTTTGAGAACTAGGGGACGTTACCCTTCTACCAGCCAAGAAGCCGGCAAAGCGCACCCGGATGGATGTATCTGTCACCGGATATGTTGCAAGATGAAGTGTCCTGACCGGATCCAAGGAGCAAGTGCTGGATCTCGAACGGACGTCTGAATCTATGCTAAGTTTTGTCACAGGTATCCTTCCTGTACGATAAGATGTAAACTAAACTCACCCGTTGTAACCAAAGTCTACGGTATATATGAGTGTCCGTACAGAGATGCACGGGAGATGAGCTTACCGGAAGCTTGCTGACAGACGGGCGACCGGAGATGACATCCCACGTAAGGCTCTCTGCAAAATTGTAGTGCGCTCTAGCTTTTTGGGCTTCCTTCAGCTCTCCCCTGTTGTTGCAGCCACTGGTAAGTATGGCATGGAGCAGAGCCCTCTCTGCACCGTGAAGCGATGATTCTGTACCTGTGCTCTGCAGTAGCAGTCGTTCCGTATGCCGCGGGCTGATATACTCTCCTCCTCTTTCCGAGGAATTAGCTCAAGACACTTTTCATTGAGAGGAGGCCTCTCACAGGGGCGAACTATATAGGAATGCTAGATCCTGTCAGTCATATGACTTTTAGGCACGATACGAATTCATCTACCTTTAATATATGACCTTGCAGTCTCATCAAGCCCTTCATTCATGTCCAGATGCTGCTCCAGAGCATGGAACTTGACCATACGAGCCTCCAGCTTAGGGAACAATTTGCCTTGCAAGCCCCGAGTTTCTGAGGACAAAGGAAGCGTGATCCCGCAAACTTTTTTCTAGGTACTCCAGCATCTGGCGGATCGGGACTTGTCGTACCTGTGGAGGTTCTCTGGGAGAGTTGGGTCTGGCTTGCATATAAATGCAGCCTGGCCCATCCCGCTCGCCTTGGTAGATTTCCCGAAAACTGAAGCGTTAGTTATGAAGTTGTAAACACGCCCTGGGAAAAACCCCTCATCTTGATTCTTACAGTTGGGTCATCGCCGGCTTGCCTGACTACCTACTTGGCACATCTCGCTGTGGCGGAGTGAAAAAGAAGTCGCGGTCCTCACTCCCACTATCGACGCTACGCGGGTGTTCGTTCGTAGCTGGCTATCGTTCTTGAGATCTCGGGGAGGTTCAAGCTGCCAAATGCAAGGGTTTTCAATGTCCTTTTCGTGCTCAAACCTCGTCGAAGAAAGTTGGTGTATTCGCGATTTGCATTGGACTTCTGTTTGATTAGGCGTAGAGCCTTTCCATGCTATATGATGATCGCTCACAGAAAAGTTACCGCAACAGGGTCGCTCACCACTGCAACGCAACTTTCTGTCTCTGCAAGCGGTGCAAGCACCTCGCCGTCTTCTGATTTTGGAGACCATTTTCCTTGAAATTAGTTTGAATTCTGATTGGTCTTATAAGCATTACTTCAGAATTGCCTCGAAATTGAACATGACTTGAATATGTCGATATCTGAACGATCGATGCCCGCGCTCGCGGGTCTTTGACAGCGTTAATGCATGTGTTGGATTGCTTCCAAGCGATTGGGAATATATTCGTAACTTCGTAAGGTCGTCAAAGTACTTGCAATTGCAAAACACTCGGTTTGAAAGGTATCTGAATTCTGGTTGCTAAATCGATGATTATTGCTCTTAGAGAGCTGACTCCTTCTATACAATAAAAAGGAGTTACGTGTACTAGCTAAATACAAAGTTTACAAGCAAGTTGGGGGTCCCTTGACCTATGACAAGCTAAGCGAAGCATGCTTAATGGCCCATGAACCTTGGTTCACGAGTAAGCTCCCCTCATACTACTAATTACTAGCTAAGGTCGATATTAATATACCGACAGCATGTGATGTGATCGGCGATCCTCTAGACATGGTCAAAGGACTGTATACGGTCAACATTCGTGAAGATTGGTTCGTAGTAACAACAGTTCGAATCCCACCAGATATGGCTATCGAAGACGTCCTAAAGAGTTCCGGAAGGTTTTCACATAAGCTTATATTGAATCATGGTGGCACAGCAGCGAAGACTTCTCTCTGAATGGTGGCATCAGTAAGGCACCCCGCTGGCTTGCCTGTGCTGACCTTCTAGATAATTTAATCCCCACTCTCCTTACAGAGAACAAGCCAATTGATTGGAGATATCGATTGCTCTCATTGAAGGATTGAAGCTCGATTAGACAGATGTCGCCAATTTCTCGGTTGCACGATTGGTTTCAATACGACCAACTCTGGTCGCATTCTACAGAGGTAGATCGATCACTCGGTCGCCGAAATATAACTTTACAGGCCAAGTGTCTCAAATTCTTTGTAATTGCTTGCTACCAAGAAGAATAAGGTGCAGGGCGAGCTAGCTGAGCTGACGCACAAGTTCAAAAGCACCGCTCACAGATCGTCGATCCGAGTCTTTCGTTGAAACCTCAGACGAGATGATCTCAAGCCGACAGGAGGCTCCTCACCAAGCATTCTGAGATCGGATTAGGTGGCTGCCAGTCTCTTTCTACAGTGGATATGAGAAACATTCCGACGTTAACTCGTAATAATTATCCAACCTCGAGTTGGCTAATGCATCAGCTTCGGTGTTGAATTCTCTCCGGACATGCCAAAACCACACAGGAATGTGATTCATCTCGAAATCCATCATCAGCTCGTCCAAGCGTTGGAACAGCTTCCAGTTTTCAACCGTCTGCTTCTTCGCAGTCCTGTATCCGTTCTTTTTCCACTTCCAGATATGCTCAGAGATACCCTGCACAAGGTAGGAGGAGTCCGACCGGATGAGCACCTTGCAGGCTACGCGACCATCTGGATCCCACGGCCTGAGAGCAAGCTGGAGTTTCTTAAGAGCAGCGATTGCTGCAAAAATTTCGGCGACTTGATTCGTAGGCGGATGATTTGAAGGCACAATGCGGGAGAAATTTTCATCGGAGCCCTCGCCGTGGAAAACACCATACGCGGCTCGTGCATCAGGTTGACCATTATTCCTGCAAGCACCATCGACGGCAATGACAATGCCTCCGCAATCTATCCTCTCGCCATCTAGAGCAACTACCGCCGTTCGGCTTGGAACCTTTATTCTGTTGGCACCACAGCCCGGACATGCTCCAACGATATCAGAATACTGTCCGTTGTAGAGCGGATGCCAGGCTGGATTGAAGGCACGAATTGGGTTCTCCGTGGTCTGAATCGGTCGTTCGTACCTCCTATGACAGTGTTCGTTCCATGGCATGATTGGACCTAGTACGGAGTGATCCGGTGGAGGATATTTGTTTCTGGACCTAGAGATCGTCAGATTGGGTTGAAGGTGTATATCATCCGGGGCTTACCTGGGATTTATCTCGATTAGCTGCTATCGATCCCTCTACCAAACCTTCACGAAACGCTCTTCTTTCTTCAGTTACCAACGTGGGTGTGGGAAAAGAGGACTGCTTGAATAGCGGACGGATCATTGAAGGCAAACGATGGGGTCGGGCAGAATAAGTACTCTGGAGGGCCAAGACATTGAAACTACGGCGGTCACATCCCTGTAGCGTTGCTTCAACGGTACAGCTACCGGTAGGGTAAGTGAAAGTCTCTTGGATCAAGCCTGCCGTTTCTTCACTAGCTCATCCGGGCAAAGGCAGGTAGAAGGGACTGCACACTCTTTTCCCGATTCAACCTCTATCATTTGCTGATTTGAAAATAAACAATAGAATCCGAATACCAGTCAGCCCGTGGCCATTGCCCTTGAATGGATGAGAATGCAACAAAATCGATACAATTTTGCAATCTGATGCTACTTGCGCAACAGCACCAATTTGATAGCCTTGCGTCAATAAGGGGAATCGATTAAACCGTCATGAGGCCATAAGGCAGAAACAGGCCGGAACTGCCCACACACATTAGACAGCCTCTCGGACGCCGAACTTTCGACCGATCTAATCCTAATCGGGTCCATAATAGCCCTTACTGTATCATTTCCGCTTCAACTACTCCGTAAACGATTGACTAATAAACGCGCTGGCAAAATTGGCTAGCTCGCTTAACTCCGATACTTTGGAAAATCGAGTTTGAATCGAATTTGAGGTTTCGCTTGTAATTACTACGTAATTTGGTTCGAATACGGTATCAGGCGCGAGGCTCGTAACTTTATTTTCTTTTACTTTGATAGCGCTAGTCGTCGAATACCACGGTACAGGCGTAACTGTTACCCCTTGAGGGTGCCTCAAAAGTTTAGTTTCCTTTAAAAACCTTCTGGTTACCCTACCCTCAGGGTGTAATACTTACGCCTGGGACGTAGTAAATGTCGATGATGAAAGGTCCCCTGGTGCAATCCTTACAAACTACTTACTGTATCCCCCTCCCTGAATAAAAGACGAAAAGTATATTCTTACTAGGGGTTGACCAGGGAGTTGTAGCCCTAACGCTTGTGAAGCAGTTCCTCAAGAATTCATTATTTCTTTATACCACGGTACAGGCCTAAGTATTACCCCTCGAGGGTGCCTTAAAAATTTGGTTTCCACTTTAAACCCCCTGGTTATCCTATCCTCGAGGCGTAATACTTACGCCTGGGACGTAGCATAATTCGTAGTAAAATCGATATCAAGCAATGATTTTTGCTCAAGGAAAACTTACAAAATACTAGAAAATAAATATATAGGTTATTTTGCTACATTTAATGAGCGGTCAGCTTAAAGGTCAAAATATGCTTTCACCAAGTGGGTCCGTCTTTTATTCAGGGAGGGGTATACCGGTAGTAGTAGTAGTACTTGGTATGATTCCAAAGCGCAAAAGAAAACCCGAACCCCGATTGCCTCTTATTTCCAGATTGTTTAAAACTTAGTAGTGTCAATAAAGGACGGATTTAAATCGGTTTCTATTTCATTTACCCTTCAGGCTGTGCAGCCTTGCTCTCTTATCGCCAAGATGATTTGGCGAGGTAAATTGGTAAAGACAGGACAGTGTTAAAATCCTTAGGCGGCACTAGCTGCTACTAACCCTCGATCTGTGCGCTGGCTGTAGCTGTCGGACGTGATCAGGTGATAGACCCGTCACGTGTAAAGACCTCTCCAGATGTATAAGCAGAGGGCTACTCCCTGAGTTCATCAGACAATCAATCAGGAAATCATTCCCTTGTTTTTGTATCCCCGTGTCACCGTTCAACAGTAGCTTAGTGTCGATTCTGCGTAGTAGCCAGCACACTTTGCTATTTTAGATGTAGAAATGAAGATCCTGAAACTGCACTGATCCCTATACACTAAGAATATTGGGTAGATGTTAGTGTCCGATACCCGCAAAGAGAAATACTGGTCCGAGCGCACCTTCCCAAACAAGCGAATGTCTACAATGAGGGACTTGCCGGTCTTGGCCATGATTATTCCTCAAAACCACAAAGCCACCAATCAATGCAAAACACTTTCGGGCCTCATTTCTCCCCTCGTAAAGCCGTCCTCAAGATGAGTCGAATTTGCGGCGATATTGCTCAACTATCCTACAGTTCACCGAGGCCGGTGTTTGTAGCCGGAGGAATACACAGACACACATAGACACATATCCCGAAGCCAGTGTTATGTGTTGTAAAAGATCAACAAAGATGACTTTGTATAAGGCGCCAAAAAGGTAGAAGAACCATGCACCATTTAATCATGAGATCGGACACCAAAAGTGTAGAAAAGTTCTTTCCCTTCTAAGTACAGTAGAGGTAGCTTTCCTATCCATCGTCCAGCTAGTCTCAAGCTCAGAACCGTCTTTGTCTGAGAGTGGGCTAGATCCACCTCTCTACAATACAATACATGATTTTCAGACACATTGAACTCAGTCGAGAACGGTTGGCTGTCCGTCAATCGGCTGTGAATCCTCCGAGGGTTGGTCGTCTATGGTACCCGTGATCTGATATATCTCGTCCTTAGGATTTGGCCTCTGAAGAGTAGAAAGTCAGTGCATGTGATATGTAGGAAATCGAAAGCCCGAAGTAGGCGATTTCAGATATGCACTGAAGTATGGGAGCCCTAAGGCAACAGATCTTGGCCGTTACGTACCTGTCCCTCGTACCGGATGCTGGCCCAGCTTTCCACAAGAGCCTCCACCGAATCGCGCACCTTCTTTGGCAGTGTTTCTAGACACTGAGATACCTCGCCATGGCTGGTTTGTAGGCGCCATGCCCATAATCCAAGGAAGAAGTATGCCATTCCGTTGCCTGTCTCCCAGTTGATTTCTGACGCCACGTAACCCCACCCGGCAAAACCGTACATTGTGATTATAGTGTCGATGAGAACCAAGGCCGTGGACATCAGGGGCGTTATCTCAAGATTGGCAGCCAAGTACCAGACGCCAATGAGGCTCCTGATATTGTTCCTGCATTCGACGAATTTGCGTGTGTTGTATTCGGCGGGGTAGCGGGCGTACTCTTGTGGTTCACGTTGGCAGTCTATCTGTTTTACGTATCAGCATGTTTCTCAAGCATCCGGAGCGGGCTTTTTCCATACATAAGCAAAGTACGGCAGAATTAGCCGGTCGAAGAATGGTCTTTCGTGTTGCTCAATCCATTGAATAAGAAGCTCTACAGCTTCGCTGGTGGTTTCAATATTCATTTGGTGCTCTGCACCTGCCCCATGGAGTATCCTGTCTAGCACGGGGGAAGCATATCTCGCATTGTTTTTGTCGCATAGATATTGCTTCCCTGACGGCATGACTTTGAAGATGACTGTGGACATGGCGTATGCAGACAATCCAGGTAATGCAGGTGACAAGAAATTATGCAGTTTTATTTCCGAAGCAGATCGTTATCGAGAGTCTTCTGTGTCGAGCGAGGTGTCGGAGTTTACATATATCAAAAGAACGTCGGGACTTACGCGGGAGGCAGGAGCTTCTACTAGGTGGACATTTTTTTTCCCAAACCGAGCTAGTAGGCGACACGCTAGTGCACTGCAAGACTTCTCTTGATACATAGATATTTCACCAATCGCCTCTGCTGACGTAAAGTATTTACACGCCGATATGGGCTCACATTAACACGATATGTGATAATCAAAGACTAACGCTGAAGCTTGATTGGGCGAGAAACTTTCTGATCTAAAAAATCCGAATAGCGCTCGCTATCTTTACCAGAAAATCGACATCATTTGATCATTTGCTTTCCGGTCTAAAGAAAAATTGAATGGAGCGAGTTATCTTTGCCTAAGCTTCGATTTCATTCGATCATTACTTCCTGGTCTAAGAAACAATTGAATGGAGCTAGCTGTCTTTATTCAAGCTTCGGTACCATTGCAGGCCAGGAGTAGGGGGTGCAACGGCGCGCCGGCAAAAACGTGAAATGCTCTGTGAGGTCCACCATTGGTTAAAGACGCTTAGAAACAAGGACTATTTAGAAAAGTGGATTTTATTTTGCACGTATTATATGACCTCGCAGTCTTAACATGCATCGGATTCTTTGCCAAGGCATCTCCTTCTCCTCCAACCTATAGAATGAACTTTCAGTTGCTGAGCCAAATTGAGAGTGTTCTTTAAATCCAGCCCCCCTTTCATAAAGGGCCGTTTTTATATTTCAGCCGAAAGTGACCGCAATATTGCTTCAATAGTCATGTGCCTGTTTCTTTCCCATGTACCGCGGATCACATTTCTACCTATTCTTCTACCCAGACCGCTTCATTCTCAGAGCCATCGATGCGCCTAATATCGAATCTATCGATATCATTCTGTCGCTGAGATGCACATCTTGCATCGATTATGCCATGGGCAGTATACGTGGCTATGTTCTCGGGAGCCGCAGTGTGCGAAAACCGGTCTTGTGTCCGGCATAGTGGAAAGCGTAGCGGTGACGAAGGTGAGTGTGTGTTTATTGCGGAGTTCGAAGACCGAATGATGGAGTGGTAACAAGGAATATTCAGATCGAAAGGTCGATTTTGCCAGCGTTTATATATAGATGATATCTTCTTTGTGTCCGAAAATGCTGATTCAAATTCGGTCTGTAACCACCATCGTGAAACGAAGGCCACCCTTGGATTGAATGCAATGAGGGGCGAGTAAGTAATTTCAAACAAATAAAGAGCTGTGTCAGTATGTCTTGCCAACCTTAGTTAATGTCGGAATACGATTGAGTACAATGGAGTGGTTGGGACAAGTAGCGGGAGTTGGCCTTAGGCAGCTCACAGTAGCGTATGTCATTTGTCACGTGATACCGCAGCTTCCTTATAGGGAGCCATTTCCTAGGACCTTTAGAATAGATCAGACGCAACAACAATACAAAACTAGTCTGACCATCAAACCAACACCTGTGATATACCAATAGTTAATATAGCGTCAGCGTATCTTCAGGAGTATGCAGTAGATTTTCTCAGACAACAATATATCTGGGTTAAAATAACAGCGGCATGGCTATCCGAATTCATTGCTTTGCTATTCGATCTTGTTGCTAGGGAAAGGTGTGAGCAGGGTGCACTGGCCAGCCTTAGTAGTGCACGGACTTCAGCCTTGGCACGAGTCCTACTACAACCTCATCCCAATTCCTAGTCCTAGAATAATACATGTCAATCAACCACACTCGAATGCTTCCTCCTGATCATCATCACTACGACTCTAATTGAGTACCAGCAATACATCTATGACCAATCCTTAACACGTCGCATCTGAAGTATTATAGTACCGGTTGGCCCGTCTAGTAAAATATATCGAAAGAATCGTATGTCTTCTCCCATTGCCCGGGCCCGTTTCAGCCAGATATATTCTAACGCCGCTTAATACGATTGCTTTGATACCAGATAAAAGTTTCTTACCCTCCATTAGGCAACATGATAGCAAGGAAACGATGTTCCGGTTCTCGATTCTTACATTATAGCTACAAAGAATAGTGACACATCATTTTCGTTGCTCGCGAAGAGAGCTAAGAGCAAATTGAGGCTGTATTGTATGACACCTTCAAACATTGAACCCAAATATAAACCTTTACGGGCTCTAAGTAGCTTCAGAGGAGTATCTTAGCTAGCAATCAAGTGAATCTTCGAAAACGAGCGGGTCATGAGGTTCAAGTTCTTGGATTTTGTACCCCTTTTTCTAAGTGAAGCCAACCCTCCCAAATGAAGTAAACAATCAAATTCCCAGACCAAACAACCAAACACTTAATCATGGATCTCTACATCAACGTACAAGCTCTTCAGACTGTATCACCCCAGATACACTCTCCTGCCTCACGTTCCCTGCCCATCCCGACCCTGCTTCGCTGCTGCTGCCGCCTTCTTCACCCGTTTGGCATTTTCCTCTACCTCGTCGGCCATCCGTTTCATACAATTGACAAATCTATGCGGTGGATTATCGTTCCAACAATATGCACATTGTATTCGCAATGGTCCATGACCCCTTGGCGCACTTGGTCTTCCGCTCTTCTTCTTTCTTGTCATTTTGACGCGCGGGTCGGGAAATATAAATATGGTGCTGTAAGTCTATAGCTGTGTGGCGATTCGAATATACTCGATCGAAGTAAGAATGTTTTCTGCTCTGAGATTCTAAGACGAGTCTTGGGAGAGGATAATCTCTGGATACTTATAAGGTCGCGTTCCTTGTGCTACTTGAAGTCTCGGGTCGCGGTGATGTCTCAACGCGCTTAACATGTCGTGGATCGAGCTCCGAGGACGTGAAATGTTTTGCCAAATTTCCTTTGAACGTTTCAGCTATGGTCTCGATCATTGTCTGTCTACATGAACCTCGTATTCGCATCTAATAGGGAGTGCCACCACTGCTGACCTTCAAAGTCATTGTTAGGTTGGCGAAGGGTCTGCCCTAAGCTATTGTTTCCCAACTAATTGCTATTCTAATGACTGAATCGGTAAATATCAAATTCATAGAAAGTAATTCATAGCCACGACATCTCTTTACGTATGCGATTCTTTTGTTAGCACCGCAACACGCGCAAAAGGCGTGCAATGGCGAATGATCGAAGCAATCTGTCACTTGGGCGTATGGATAGCGAACAACACATGTTTCAAAGCTAGCAGCGCTAGGTTTTGATTAATATTAAAGAAAAACAAATGTGCTTGATGCTGTGATGTTCTTTTCGCGCCGTCGCTCTAATTGATTTCGGAACAGTCCGTAAAGAGTGAAAGGTCAAGTTGAGCCTTGCGTGGTGTTAAGCCAGAAGCTCCATCAGTGCAAGAGCACATCTTGGCCCTAAAAGCTGTGAGGTCAACTCATATTATTATTATGAATACTACAATCCAAAGCCATAGTTTTACCTCGCCATTTATACCAAGTGAGCCTGAGTAGGCAAACTTTCTACTATCCCAACCCTCGCCCTTCGTCTCTTCCACCCTGGCCCTCAATATCCTAGAGAATTACACAGGCACCACCGAGTCCATTAATCACCCCACCTTCCACGACCCGCCCCCAAATTTCCACCTCTCGCCCTTTTTTTCTATCCTGTTCGCTCCTTCTAACCGGCTTGGCTTTGCCTGCAACGGCGTCCACGACTTCTTTTGTACTTTTCTCTCTTTCTGCAGCTAGTAGCGCGACTCGAACTTCGCAGTCGACCATCCAGTTCTCGCCGCCGCAGAACATGCATTTTGCTGGCGCATCTACGTGGTTACTGGTGGAGGCGGAGTTGGAGGTAGTGCCACGCGGAAAGTGGAAGGGGCCGAAGGACATCTTTCCGGGTTGGTGCGGTGGCAACTGAGGTGAAAGATGTATATGTTTTGCAAGAGTTGGTAGGAACTGGCTCGATGAAGTGAAGAAGTGGCGTTGGTAGGGAAGTGCCCGAGTAGTGGAAGCTGATGGGCCTTGTATCTGGACAGTCTTTGTCGGACGAGAGAATCTTCGAGATCAGGAGATTGTCTCGGGATCCAGATTCCGGATTCCCTGCTTCTTCACTTCTACAGATTTGAAACATATGCCTAACGGACCAAACTAAATTAACACGGATCAAAACAAAGAGTTGCGAAAATACTAAAGATTTATATCTCTTTTATAGAATTAAAATCGATTATACTTCAACAAATTTATAAATTACTTGACATAATATTTAAATTCCAGATTTACCTAAGCTGTAGTAAATAGAGAGTTTTATTCTTTATAAAAATTATTCTTTATAAAATTCAAATTTACGATCATTATGCTTTTGATTGCCATCGCCGAACAAATCGTGGGTTTTACCTTTCACCTGGTCCACATCCCACTTCTCTTAGATTTTACCATCTGATTTAAAACAAAAGAAAATCTCAAAATTCATAAAGCTATGAAAAAATTATGATCAAAAACTACAGCTTATATTGGCCCATTTCCCTTCACAAGATCCAAATCCTTTTTGATTATGCGCGAAACTCATCTACTAATTAGCTACTATCCTCCTAAGATCTTTTTGTACTCGTACCATCTGCTTTCCATCCTTTCCCAGGACTTGATATCGCAATCAAAATCTCATTCACCTAAGCGGGTCTTACAATAGAGACGTGGCGCCCGATAGATGAGAAAAGCAAGTGAAAGGGTGTTATATTAAGAATATCGAATTCCAAAGAGCCGTCCTCAAGATCGCCTATTTCATCAGAAGAGCTCGTGGTCACCAGTGGACTTCGAGCTGCACGACTCGTGGAGAAAACGCCTGAACACCGGAGTTGACGCTTTCGGCATGGCTACAACAGAGGACCACGTTGCATGCACCATACCAGCCTCGGAACTTGAGTTTCTCGGAAGTGGCGGTGCTCATGTATTATGTGTACGATGGCTAAATTTTCTTGTGAAATAGCTACTGTCAATACCCGAGGTGTTTATCAACTTCTTCAGGTCCTATTCCCCTTCCGCCCTTCCGGGTTCCGAGCAGAGATCCCAAGGTCCCTATTACTGCGAGTATACGTGCTGAACAGTAAAAAAAAGAAACGCAAGTCGCGGATCAGTCCTCGAAAAGGTAGTTAAAGGTTTTAATCACAGCGTTTGCAGACATCTCATATTGCTTTAAGCACATTTCGCGTAACTGCGTACGGACTTTATATACATGTTGTAGCTCCGGAGGCCTGTTATACATGTATTCCGTACAGCGTCATTGTACTTAAGGCATATGGTCCGGGTATTATTAGTACCTCCGTAATCCGCGTACTTTTAGTATCTGGACCACGTACCAATGGCGCCTGGACCGCGTTGGTACTGATAGCGTCTGACCTCCGTACCTGCTGATTTATAGTGATTGGTATTCACTGTGATTAAATTTAGCGTCTGACCTGCTATAATACTACCTTTAATTTCCTATCGTCTTCTAACAAACGATTCAGGAATCAAAAATTGCTAAGGAAAGAAGAGAGAAGAAAGAAAAACAAAGAGCATGAGATTATATTTTTTTCTTCTCCTCATGTGCATTGTTCCATTTTATCCGTACATTGTGTGGATCTCATCTAGCGATCACTTCGATCGCTACGTAGTACAGTCTATCATGTATATATAATAAAGGTAGATTATCGCCTCAGATCAATTACAGTAGCATTGTGCTTCTTCGTCTTTTC